TGTTTTGTCTCATTTATTGATATGGATATAGCCTCTGCGTGATGGGGTTGTGCAACGCAAATGGCTATAACAAGCCTACATACAGAGTGGAATTCACCAATACAACAGTCAAAATGCCTAATATAAGGCCTACAGTCCATGCTCCCAAATACTGGAAAAAGTGTGATTCATTAAGTTACATGATCACCACAGTAGCCCCACGTGGCTATAAAAAATTAAATATGCAATTATATGGTCATTAAATAACCCACAACAGCATGGTATATTTAGATAGCGGAATAGGCCTAGCCTAAATCATATTTACTTTCTATTTTGTAGCTCAGGCAGTTATTCTAGACAAGGCTCTTCTGTGTCTTTGTCACGATCGTCAGGGAGAGAAGTAGACCAATGCGCAGCGTGTTGAACGAACATGTTTAGACTTTATTTAATAAAGCACGAACAAAACAATAAACGACTCGTAACGTCCAACGGTAACAAATACCGACACGGAACAAAAACCCCACAAACACAAAGGGAAAACAGACAGTTTAAATATGGCTCCCAATCAGAGACAACCAGCCAACAGCTGACACTCGTTGCCTCTGATTGGGAGTCACTCAGGCAAAACATAGAAATAGACGAACTAGAACCCCCAACATAGAAACACACCACATAGAACAAACACACCCTGGCTCAACAACTAGAGTCCCATAGCCAGGGTGTGACAGTACCCCCCCCTAAAGGCGCGGACTGCGACCGCGCCTCAAAAAGAGCAAAACAGGGGAGGGCTGGGTGGGCATACCTCCTCGGCGGCGGTTCTGGCTCCGGGCTTGACCCCCACTCCTTCTCTAACCCCCCAAAGTACCCCTGGTCCGGTCTGGCCCTGCTGACCAGAGCTGAACTGAACACTGGTGGAGCGGATTGCTCTAGCTCCGGCGTGACGCAGCACCTGACCGGTGCCGGACCCGCCACCGGTGGAACAGGCACGGGCCGTGCCGGACTGACGACGCACACCACTGGCTTGGTGTGGGGAGCAGGAGCGGGCCGAGCCGGGCTGACGAAACGCACCACTGACTTGGTGCGGGGAGCAGGAGCGGGCCGAACCGGGCTGACGAAGCGCACCACTGACTTGGTGCGGGGAGCAGGAATGGGCCGTGCCGGGCTGACGACGCGCACCACTGACTTGGTGCGGGGAGCAGGAACGGGCCGGACAGGGCTGACGAAATGCACCACTGACTTGGTGCGGGGAGCAGGAATGGGCCGGACTGGGCTGGCGACGCGCACCACAGACTTGGTGCGGAGAGCAGGACCGGGCCGGACAGGGCTGACGAAACGCACCACAGACTTGGTGCGGGGAGCAGGAATGGGCCGGACTGGGCTGGCGACGCGCACCACAGACTTGGTGCGGAGAGCAGGAACGGACAGGGCTGACGAAACGCACCACAGACTTGGTGCGGGGAGCAGGAATGGGCCGGGCCGAGCTGGCGATGCGCACCGTAGACTTGGTGCGAGTGGCAGGAACAGGCCGGACCGTACTGGGAACACACACCACTGGCCCTACGTGGGGATCAGGAACAGGCCGGACCGGACTGGCAACACACGCCAGTACCTCTCGCCGTGCCTCTACATCTTCCACCCCCTCTTCGACCAGTGGCCCCCTTAACCTGGCGGCCTCCTCTGCCAATCCACTGGGCCGCTCTGCCGCGGTCTCCTGCTGGCCCGACGTCGTGAGCCCCCCCCTAAAAAAAATCTGGGGGTCTCTCCTCCCCGTGGGCCAGGCCTCTATCGTTCTCGCCCAACTCTCGCTCTTCTGTCTCCAACTCCCGCTATTCAGCTCCTCAATGGGCTTGACCCAGTCGAGGCTCTTCCTCCATTGTTCCCAAGTCCACTCTCTCTGCTCTTCCCTCGGCTTGACCCAGTCAAGGCTGCCACGGAGATCTGCTAGGGATCTCCCTGGCGATGGCTCCTCGACTCGCTGCTTGGTCCAGTTGTGGTGGGTTTTTCTGTCACGATCGTCAGGGAGAGAAGTAGACCAATGCGCAGCGTGTTGAACGAACATGTTTAGACTTTATTTAATAAAGCACGAACAAAACAATAAACGACTCGTAACGTCCAACGGTAACAAATACCGACACGGAACAAAAACCCACAAACACAAAGGGAAAACAGACAGTTTAAATATGGCTCCCAATCAGAGACAACCAGCCAACAGCTGACACTCGTTGCCTCTGATTGGGAGTCACTCAGGCAAAACATAGAAATAGACGAACTAGAACCCCCAACATAGAAACACACCACATAGAACAAACACACCCTGGCTCAACAACTAGAGTCCCATAGCCAGGGTGTGACAGTCTTGATCATTCTCACTAAGTCATTTGCTGAAGGCCCAAGCCTATACTACACCATCTACTGGTGTAACATCGTTATTGAATGCAGTTCTAAAACAAGCTCTAGACTTTTATTTTGGAAATGAAACCGGAAGCTGCAAAGCAACTAATGTCTGGGCTAGAGTGAGAGGATGTGTTGTAGCTGAGGTTGTGTGTGAAAACAACCGGGTGCAACTTTGCTAAACTGCGCACAGTAAGTGTATCTTTTGTATTTGAAAGATTCTTTCTCGCTTATATGAAAGTTAAGTTCCAAAGTTTTCCAAAACCGTATGGCAAATGAGGCGTATTTGCGTTTAGACAGAGCGTTGGGATTAAACAGCGCATCGGAATTGTAGTTCACATGGAGCCAGCTGTAGTTCGTACCATCAGCTGAGAACCCAAAAGGGGGACTGGCTGTAAACTGGGTATGCCCCCTTGGGTTCTTGAGAGCTATTTGATTGTACCATGGAACAACTGAAAAAACCCATAAAATCAAATTCTATTTGTCACATACACGTGGTTAGCAGATGTTATTGCAGGTGTAGTGAAATGCTTGTGGTTCTAGCTCCGACAGTGCGGTAATATCCAACAAGTAATATCTAACAATTTCACAACATATACCCAATACACACAAATCTAAGTAAGGAATGGAATTAAGAATATACACTACCGGTCAAAAGTTTTAGAACACCTACTCATTCAAGTTTTTCTTTCTTTTTTTTCTTTTCTTTATACATTGTAGAATAATAGTGAAGACGCCAAAAACTATGAAATAACACATATGGAATCATGTAGTAAACAAAAAAGTGTTAAACAAATCAAAATATATTTTATATTTGAGATTCTTCAAATAGCCACCCTTTGCCTTGATGACAGCTTTGCAAACTCTTGGCATTCTCTCAACCAGCTTCACCTGGAATGCTTTTCCTACAGTCATGAAGGAGTTCCAACATATGCTGAGCACTTGTTGGCTGCTTTTCCTTCACTCTGCTGTCCGACTCATCCCAAACCATCTCAATTTGGTTGAGGTCGTGGAATTGTGGAGGCCAGGTCATCTGATGCAGCACTCCAACATTCTCCTTCTTGGTAAAATAGCCCTTACACAGCCTGGAGTTGTGTTGGGTCATTGTCCTGTTGAAAAACAAAAGATAGTCCCACTAAGCCCAAACCAGATGGGATGGCGTATCGCTGCAGAATGCTGTGGTAGCCATGCTGGTTAAGTGTGCCTTGAATTCTAAATAAATCACCAGCAAAGCATCCCCACACCATAACACCACACGTGGTGTGGAGATCATCCGTTCACCCACACCACGTCTCACAAAGACACGGCGGTTGGAATCAAAAATCTCCAATTTGGACTCCAGACCAAAGGACACATTTCCACCGGTCTGATGTCCATTGCTCGTGTTTCTTGGCCCAAGCAAGTCTCTTCTTCTTATTGGTGTCCTTTAGTAGTGGTTTCTTTGCAGCAATTCGACCATGAAGGCCTGTTTCACACAGTCTCCTCTGAACAGTTGATGTTGAGATGTGTCTGTAACTTGAACTCTGTGAAGCATTTATTTGGGCTGCAATTTCTGAGGCTGGTAACTCTAATGAACTTATCCTCTGCAGCAGAGGTAACTCTGGGTCTTCCATTCCTGTGGCGGTCCTCATGAGAGCCAGTTTCATCATAGCGCTTGATGGTTTTTGCGACTGCACTTGAAGAAACGTTAAAAGTTCTTGAAATGTTCCGTATTGACAGACCTTCATGTCTTAAAGTAATGATGGACTGTCGTTTCTCTTTGCTTATTTGAGCTGTTCTTGCCATAATATGGACTTGGTCTTTTACCAAATCGGGCTATCTTCTGTATACCCCCCTTACCTTGTCACAACACAACTGTTTGGCTCAAACGCATTAAAGGAAAGAAATTCCACAAACTCACTTCTATGAAGGCACACCTGTTCATTGAAATGCATTCCAGGTGACTACCTCATGAAGCTTGTTGAGAGATTGCCAAGAGTGTGCAAAGCGGTCATCAAGGCAAAGGGTGGCTATTTGAAGAATCTCAAATATAAAATATATTTGGATTTGTTTAACACTTTTTTGGTGACTACATGATTCCATATGTGTTATTTCATAGTTTTGATGTTTTCACTATTATTTTACAATGTAGAAAATAGTAAAAATAAAGAAAAACCCTTGAATGAGTAGATGTTCTAAAACATTTGACCGGTAGTGTATACACATATGGATGAGCAATGACAGAGCGGCATGGACTAAGGTACAGTAGAATATTATATAATACAGGATATACATATGAGATGAGTAATGCAATATATGTAAATATTATTAAAGTGACTAGTGTTCCATTTCTTAAAGTGCCCAGTGATTTCTATAGGCAGTAGCAGCCTCTAATGTGCTAGTGATGGCTATTTAACAGTCTGATGGCCTTGAGATAGAAGCTGTTTTTCAGTCTCTCGGCCCCAGCTTTGATGCACCTGTACTGACCTCGCCTTCTAGATGATAGCGGGGTGAACAGGCAGTGTCTCGGGTGGTTGATGTCCTTGATGGTCTTTTTGGCCTTCCTGTGATATTGTGTGCTGTAGGTGTCCTGGAGGTGTGATTAGCCCTAATATTTGACTGAATACAATTATTTTCCAGTTTTTTACCCGATGGCATCAGAGAGATCTTCATATCCAGTCAAGATTGTTTTGAACAAGCAGAGGAGTAGCTCACAGTGGAGAGAAGGAGAGATGACTGTTGAAGAGGACTCTCAACCCCAGGTGTGATACATCACCTTTTACAACAACAGAGACCTGACCTCTTGGATCAATTCTGTTCATTTATTATCGAGAGTATTTACCGCTTTTGTGTGATTCATGAGTATGAAAAGCATTAGACATGGTGTGTCCAGAGTAATAACCTCAGTCCCCTGTTACAGCCTACAGATGTGGAGCAGAGAGTGGAGACTGAACCCATACTGATCAAAGATGAGGAGACAGCAGAAGACGTGTGGAAGACTGACCATCAGGAAGAGCTCAGGGTCACTGGAGAGGGTGGGTGAAACCATAAGGGGTACTGCTCTGTCTGTCTATGGAAGACTGTGTGGGTGTGGTGGTATGCACGTTCCAAATTGCTACATTGGTGTTGGGTGTTTTATGTTCTGGCATATGGAGCACACGTACACACACAGTCAGTTCTAAAGCAGTCATGTTTTCCAACTGTTAAGGGTCTTTTGTAATGTTTATTTTATGTTTATCCCCAAATCTTTAGAGTCTGGTTCCAAGCCTGGGAAACCACCATCTTTTGAGCAACGGCACTGTAATGAAGACTTCATCACACAACCCAACATATCTCTCGAAGACTCAGTGGAACATTACCCCAATTCTGATCATCCAGAGGAACCAGGCACACCCCGGCTCGCGTCTACAGAGGTGTTCAGCACAGAGCAGCACCAGCCAGACAAGGACTCACTAGAGCTAGTGATGGTGAAGGATGAGAAAGAGGAGGAGCTGGATCAGACCACGGCCCTGGCAGGACCTGACCAGTTTGTTATGGATGAGACTGATGGGCAGCTGTGGACCTCTGTGGATCCAGGCAGAGACGCTGACCCTGATGGCCACCCAGATTTCTCCTTTCATTCCACAGAAGAGTACTCTCAGAATATCTCAATTTTCCCATCTCATAGTGGGCTGCCATCCGTTCCTAATATGACAGATGATGTAGGGCCATCGCTTCACTCTTCTATATGGAAACCACATGCTAACATGTTCAGTGCAGGATCACACATGAAAAGACATGTCAGGACATTGGCTGATGAGACTAGACAACAGATGTCAGATGGAGAGAGCAGCGAGAGGCTGAACTTAAATAATGAAGGAAATAGTTTAGCTCTACAGCCAATGCAGCATCAATACAGGGCTTCAGAATCAACAGTGAGAATGAGTGAATGCATGACAGGGTCAAACATGGCCACCACCTCCACCTTCTCTGGATACAGCCTGAGTCGCAGTAGTTTTAACATGGTGAAGAGAATGAGGACTCAGTGGAGGTCGGGCGGCACCACCGAGAGGCGTTTCAGCTGCACCTTCTGTGGGAAGAGCTTCCAGCGTTTCAGCGAGCTCAAAGTACACCTCCGGAGTCACACCGGAGAGAAACCGTACACCTGCGAACAGTGTGGCAGGAGTTTCACCCAGCAGTGCAACCTGATCAGACATGCTCTGGTCCACACCGGGGAGAAGCCCTATGAGTGCACACAGTGTGGGAAATGCTTCACCCAGCGCTCCAAAATGAAGTCACATCAGAGAACTCACATAGGAGAGAGTCCAGTGACTCAATATGTGGTACCTACATACCCTGGGGATCCACACACAAGTGTAATGTTGTCTCAGAACAGATGGAACAAATAGTTCATAATTACATAGTTTTTTTCTATAACACTTTCTATGTGAAAATGTGGTACAGAAGGTATTTTAAGACATTTTGACCAGCTTTTTCATCCAATTGATTTGTGAAATGGTTTTCATGTTTGACTGTTGACTGCTACTCGTTTTCATTGGTGGTCCTCTGTAGCTCAACTGGTAGAGCACGGCGCTTGTAACGCCAAGGTAGTGGGTTCGATCCCCGGGACCACCCATACACAAAAATGTATGCACGCATGACTGTAAGTCGCTTTGGATAAAAGCGTCTGCTAAATGGCACATTATTATTATTATTATTATTATTATTATAAGAACTTATTTACAACTGGTAACATTGTGTATTTGTACCACAAAATCATCAAACATGTTATATTCAATAAAATTGAGTTCATGAAAGAGTCAATCTGCGCTTTTAGATCAATAATATATAGGATCCATTTAGTATGTGTTGTCTAGTTAGTGTTTGACTATCTGTGATGTCACTTCTTGCCACAAGGGACAGTCATATCAGGTCAGGTTGATAACTCAATTCAACTTGATTTTCAGAGTTCGATTTTGAAGTTACTCTGCTGCTATAAAATGTTAAGTTACTGTATGTCATCTCAAAACTAGACAATCAAATATTGTTTGTGTAATAGGCTATACATGTTCATACAACTTTACATTTTACATCTGGAAACTACACTTTTACTGTGTACATTGTCTAAACTGACACCACTGGGACTGTAAATCTGGTCAAGGATCATTAGATACTGTAGATGGCTAAATAGATAAGAGAAATAGATTATGATTGGTCGTTTCTATGATTTACTGGTTCATTGATTTGTCAATCAACGGAGGCGGAGATGATGAGGGAGATATACAGAAAGAGAAACGCAAGAGAGAAAGAGAGAGTAGGAAGTCAACAGGGTAAGTTTAGGTGTTTCTTGCATTACCGCTTGCTGCTGCTTGGTGTTCAGAGTGAAGGTAGGAACAGTCTTAACTCTATCTTATTTTTTGTTTTTACCTTAGTCACTCCAAAACTTGAGAGGAATAACAGTGACAGTGTGTTAGGGGTGGGATGGTAGGGGTCAGGGGGATGAAGAGGTGGAGTCAGGCTCAGGCGTCATGTTCTACGACGGGCCTGCAGTCACAACGACGTACAATTCAATTGACTTCCGCTGCAGTGAGAGGGCCACAATGGCTGCGAGAGGCAGGGAGGAGAAGGCCTTTATCGGTCACAGAGAACAGCCAGAGCTGTGGTTAGGGGTGTCAGGGTGTCCATCAGCATAATCATACACATTGTGATACATATTGTGAATCATATGTAAACAAGTTGTTATATGAATAATTTATTAACTGCACTGTTATTCTGTGTCCTGTCTCCAGAGTTGGTAGTGTGTGGAGATTCCAAGGGAAACGTGGTTCAAGCAGTCACCGAACGTCAACTCCTGGAGCAGCAGGAAACCTGTAAGATCTCTCCCTTTTCCTCCCACTGTTTCATGTATCAGGTACGCGGTGAGTGGAATGGAGTATTATAGTTTTGTGGTGACATCACGTTCCCTGCATACCTTCAAAATGATTTGGCAATCATATTTTTTGGGAAAACACAGTTTCGACCATAAAGATTATGTTTGACTAAAGAAAAATGCGCCCCGTCGAACCGATTTAAAATGTTGTAGATCTTTAGAAAATGTCTCTTATATCTGCCGTTTCCATTACACATGTCGCAATTTTTTTTTTGTTGCAACATTGCTTTTGTCTAATAAACCTGGGTCAATGGAAACCTATTGTATACAGACACACATGCAATCATAATTCACTTACTCTCACAAAGCTACAGGTAACTGCCAAAATAATGGAAACACGTCAGTAAATGAGGGACACAAAGTATATTGAAAGCAGTTGCTTCCACACAGGTGTGGTTCCTGTGTTAATTAAGCAATAAACAGTCCTCTGTAGCTCAGCTGGTAGAGCACGGCGCTTGTAACGCCAGGGTAGTGGGTTCGATCCCCGGGACCACCCATACACAAAAATGTATGCACGCATGACTGTAAGTCGCTTTGGATAAAAGCGTCTGCTAAGTGGCATATTATTATTATTTATCATGCTTAGGGTCATGTATACAAATGCTGGGCAGGACATTATTTTGGCTACCATGGCTATGCCCCCATAGGATGACAATGACCCCATCCACAGGGCACGAGTGGCCACTGAATGGTTTGATGAGCATGAAAACTATGTAAACCATATGCCATGGTCAGTCACCAGATCAGTCACCAGATCTCAACCCAATTATGGGAGATTCTGGAGCAGCGCCTGAGGCAGTGTTTTCCACCACCATCAACAAAACAACAATTGATGGAATTTCTCTTGGACGAATGGTGTCACATCCTTCCAATAGAGTTCCAGACTGCAGAATCTATGCCAAGGTGCATTGAAGCTGTTCTAGCTCGTGGTGGCTCAACGCCCTATTAAGACACTTTATATAGTTTTTTCCTTTATTTTGGCAGTTACCTGTATATCAGTACTACTGTACTGTTATGCATATTCTCTCATGCAGCTCAATCAACACTACTTGCTATCTTCTTCTACACACTATCTGATATGCATACTCTTTATATCTAATACCTCTACTTATATATGTACATGCCTTTAAAAACCTAAGAGACTAACCTCTAAATGTAAATCAGCTATAATGCATGTAGTATGCAAAAGTTACTTGAAATATATAATGAAATTAAGTTTATTTGAAGTTTACATGAAACTAGTTTAGCGGCTTTGTTCCCCAGCTGTGTGTCAAATAAGTTATATCCCCTTTCTATCTTTTAATAAACACCATACCACATTTCCAGAATGGTTTCATTAGGCTGTGGAGATGACAATATTTGATAATATGTTTAACAATATTTCCTGACACCTGTGTTCAATCATTCATGAATGCATCATTAGACTCATAAGGAACCATTACTTTAAAAAATGGTTGAAGAAATTGTTTTTGTATTTTACCACAGTGTGTTGTGCATTATCAATGCATATAGCCTTTTATGCATTTATAACCATATGAGCCACTGCACTACACTCTCCCCTGCATGTAGCCATATATATTTACTTAAAACAGATGACGTTTTACTATCCAAAGTTTTAAGGTCTTCTCTTTTTAGTCAATAGATATGGCGGGGTTCTGACTAGAGGGAGTACAGCTACGACCGGAAGTTACTTTTCCGTAGCAGGTTAGGAGAACTTACACAGCAGGTTAGGATAATTAACGTGGCAGGTTAAGAGACTTAGGTTAAGGTTAGGAAAAGGGTTAGGGTTAGCTAAAATGCTCCCCTAACCTGCTACGAAAGTCACTTCCTGTCGTACATCTTGTCACAACCGTTTGCAAGATGACAAACAACATAAAAGGAATAATGCCGCCATCTTGTGGCCGGTTGGCCTAGAAAACACCCTGGTATTTGCCTTGCCAGTGCTAAACTCTACCAAATTTGAAGGGCTGTTGCAGTCTCATATTTACGGTAATAAATACTTACCTCACCAGTTGAACAGAAGTGGCATTAAGAGGATGAGTGGGGTCAGACGAGATTGGGATCTCCCTGTGCTGAAAAGTGGGGAGACTGTTGCAGTGAGAGATATGGAGAAGGCCGAAATGTTAGCTCAGGCATTTGTGAAGGTACACAGCTCAAATAATCTGACAGAAGAGGGGCAGCGGAGAACATCCAGGGGTCCTGGATCAGAGAGAAGTGGTGGAGAATGCATTGAATGCTCCTTTTACGTTGGCTGAGATGAAGATAGTGATAGCTAAAGCTGGGGTAACATCTCCTGGGAAGGATGAGATGTTTTACATCATGATGGCTCATCTCAGTGACACTGCAATGGGGAAAGTATTGGGCCTTTACAATAAGGTGAGGCAGGAAGGGAAACTGCCTAACAGTTCAAAGCAGGCTGTAGTGGTGCCGATAAACCAGGGAAAGAAAGACCCTACTAGTCTAAACTATAGGCCGATAACGTTGGCATTTCATGCATGTAAACTTTTTATTTTGTTTTTATTTATTATTATTATTTATTTATTTTTGTCATTTAGCAGACGCTCTTATCCAGAGCGATCTTACAGGAGCAATTAGGGTTAAGTGCCTTGCTCAAGGGCACATCGACAGATTTTTAACCTAGTCGGCTCAGGGATTAGAACCAGCGACCTTTCGGTTACTGGCACCACGCTCTTAACCACTAAGCTACCTGCCGCCCCAATGGAAAGGATGATAACGGAAAGGCTGACATACTTTCTGGAGAGCAGAGGCCTAATGTCACCAGATCAAAGTGGGTTCAGGAAAGGCAGGGGAACGATGGATCCTGTACTGTGCCTAGAGTCAGTCATACAGAAGGCACAGGCAAATAAAGAGATGGTGGGAGCTGTTTTCTTTGATGTAGAGAAGGCCTATAATGTGGAAGGAAGTACTACTCATCAAACTGGATATCATGGGTTTGGAGGAAGGGTTTTTAACTGGATAAAGGATTTTCTTTTTGGGGCGATCAATACAAGTGAGGGTGGGGATTTCTATGTCAGAAAGTTATGACGTAGATAATGGTACCGCCCCAGGGAAGTGTCATTAGTCCTTTTGTTGTTCTCCATTATGATTGACGATTCTCCCAGGTGAGACCAGATATTAGGAGGTCATTGTTTGCGGATGCTGGGGAAGAGAGGGAGAAATATTCCCCATACATACAGCTGGGAGTGTTCAAGAAGCGAATTTGAACAATCCCTCAGATGGGCTTCAAGTTCTCAGTTGAGAAAACATACTTTTTTTTACTGCCTGAAGCTGTACGAAAAGGAATCTTGAGAGGGTGGGAGTTTAGGTTCCTGGGGGTCTGGTTTGACACTCGAATAACATGGGCGGAGCATATTAAAAGAGTCGTTGTCAAAGAAAATATTGAATGTGATTCGTTGCCTGTCAGGAATAGAGTGGGTGGCAGATAGAATGGCATTGAAAATGCCCTATACACTGACTCTACAAAACATTAGGAAAACCAAAGCTCTTTCCATGGCAGACTGACCAGGTGAAGCCAGGTGAAAACTATAAACCCTTATTGATGGCACTTGTTAAATCCACTTTAATCAGTGTAGCTGAAGGGGAGGAGACCGGTTAAAGAAGGATTTTTAAGCCTTGAGACAATTGAGACATGGATTGTGTATGTGGGCCATTCAGAGGCTGAATGGGCAAGACAAAATATTTAAGTGCCTTTGTACAGGGTATGGTAGTAGGTGCCAGGCGCACTGGTTTGAGTGTGTCAAGAACTGCAACGCTGCTGGGTTTTTTACGCTCAACAGTTTCCCTTGTGTATCAAGAATGGTCCACCACCCAAAGGACATCTAGCCAACTTGACACAACTGTGGGAAGCATTGGAGTCAACATGGGCCAGCATCCCTGTGGAACGCTTTCAACACCTTATAGAGTACATGCCCCGACGAATTGAAGCTGTTCTGAGGGCAAAAGGGGGTGCAACTCAATATTAGGAAGGTGTTCCTAATGTTTTGTACACTCAGTGTATAGCGCTGTCAAGGTCATCACTGGACAATGGAAGTGTAGCATATGGATCAGCAGCTCAAACATCTTTGGAAAAGGTAGATGTAATCCAGGCTCATGCCTAAGAATATGTTGTGGAACAATCAGGACCTCCCTGGTGGCAGCTCTGCAGGTAGAGTGAGGAGACATGCCGTTAAAGTTAAGACAACAGCTAGCCATGACATATTGGGTAAATCTACAAGGACTTAAGGTTACACATCCTACAAAAAAAGGTGCTCCTAGAGTGCTGGGAACATGAACGAAATCTGAATAAAAGTTTGGGGTGGATCGGTATGTAATGGCATGGTGAGAGAGAGCCCCTCAGTGGTTCTTCCTGCTATCCCACCTTGGTTGCTTCCTCAGCCAATAATAGGCCTAGGGTTGCTTTAGAGGGTAAGAGCTGGAGTAGAGGAAGGAGTATTGTATGAGATTTTACAGTGCTTGTATAGTGTGAGATAGATGGGGGTAGTTGGATGTTCCACTGGGAACAAGCACATGTGGGAGTAGAGGGGAATGAGGAGGTGGATGTTCTCGCCAAGCAGGCACTCAAACATCATAATGTTGAAATGTAATTGTCAATCAGTAAAGCAGAAGCCAAGTGGTTGATAGGAACAGTGGTTAAAAACAAATGGCAAGAGTTGTGGAACAGGGAGGGAAAGGGAAGATCTGAATAAGATCAAGGAGAAGGTGGGGGCAGGGAGGTCATCAGGTCGAGCGAGAAGGGAGGAAAGTGTAATCACAAGGTTGAGAATGGGACACACAAGGCTCAACAGTTTCTGTATAGCACTTTGTAACATCTGCTGATGTAAAAACGGCTTTATAAATAAAATGTGATTGATTGATTGATTTAAACCGTAAGGAAAACTTCAGACTGGGAGGTGTGATCACTGTCAGGAGGAGATGTAGACAGCGGAACGCATTCAATTTCAGTGGCAGCAATATGGGAGGGAAAGGGAGAGATTGTAATTAGATCTAAGGAGTAATGGTGTTGAAGAGTTTTTTTCCTGTAGATTTTCGCTCCAACCCCAGTTGTAACTGACCTGATTCAGCTTATCAACCAGCTAATTATTAGAATTAGGTGCGCTAGATTAGGGTTGGAGTGAAAACCTACAGGACGGTAGCTCTCCAGGAACAGGATTGGGGAGCCCTGATTTAGACCTTCCCTGTCTCTGTTCCACCCTCCAGTCATTTGGTGGTGGTAATGCGCCTTAAAGTTGGTTGCCAACCTCCATATAAAATCCACAGAAGAAGAAGATGAACGGAGTGAGCCGTGCGCCTGACAGAGTTCAGGAGGTAAAATGGAAGTGAATGAGGGTTAGTTAAGTGAGGTGGAAGGTGTGGTGAAAAGCTCGGGAACCCGAGCCTGGCATCGATGGACATGATAAAGAAGAATCTGGTCCAGTAGAAGAGACATTTGAGAAAGTGGATCCTTCCCTTTTGGCGGATCCATTTGTGGTTTCAGGGTGGGTGGGAAAGGAGTTGGGTGCAGTTGAATCAGTGAAGGTAACCTGTAGTGGACTTGTGATATTTGTTTGTGTTGCGGGCGCTCCATGTCACACAACTTGGGTCAAGATCTGTTTCTTGCTTTGCTCTATTTCTTGCTTTGCTCTTATTGAAAGGAGTGATTTCTGGGGTAACTTTAAATGTGAAGGTGGAGCAATTGAAGTTGAAGATTCCTGGTGTTTGTGATGCCTGCCATTCGGTGCGACGCAGACCCGGTGGTGCGTATGGTGAAACAGAGGAGTCACTGTCAGTCCTTTGGAGTTTTGAGTCAGTCTTTACCCGACAAAGGATATAGGATATATCAGTTATCCTGTTAGAGCTTTTGTGCAAAATCCACTGCGCTTTTTCAGGTGCAACGTTTATGGTCATGTCGCAGCAGTTTGTAAGAGGGAGATTCTAAGATGTGGGAAGTGTACAGGAGGGCATTGGATAGAGGATTGTGTAGTTTCGGTGGATATAGTTGTGTGTGTCAACTTGTAGGGGTGCCCATGGTACTGGGGATCGGAAGTGTGCGGTGCGAGAGAGGCAGGTTGAGGTTGCTAGAGTCAGAGTAGTGCATTAGGTGTCGTATGCGGAGACGGTGAAGTAAGTAGAGGAGGATGGGTCAAGGGAGAGGGATCCTGAGAGGATCCCTGAGAATAGTAGATATATGTACTCAGTTGTCATACTTGAGTAAAAGTAAAGATATCTTAATAGAAAATGACTCAAGTAAAAGTGAAAGTCACCCAGTAAAATACTACTTGAGTAAAAGTCTAAAAGTATTTGGTTTTAAATATCAAAGTATCAAAAGTACATGGAATTGCTAAATATCAAAAAAATCATTTCAACTTCCTTATATTAAGCAAACCAGAAGGCACAATTGTTTTATTTTGTTTTATTGACGAATAGCCAGGGCACTCTCCAACACTCAGACATAATTTACAAACGAAGCATTTGTGTTTAGTGAGTCCGCCAGATCAGAGGCAGTAGGGATGACCAGGGATGTTCTCTTGATAAGTGTGTGAATTGGACCATTTTCCTGTCAAAATGTAATGAGTACTTTTGGGTGTCAGGGAATATGTATGGAGTAAAAAGTACATTATTTTCTGTAGGAATGTAGTGAAGTAAAAGTAAAAGTAGCCAAAAATATAAATAGTAAAGTGCAGATACACAAACAAACGACTTAAGTAGTACTTTAAAGTATTTTTACTGAATTACTTTACACCACTAATGCCAGCACAGAAGGATAGGCCAATGAGTGATATATCCTTCAGTAAGGTTGGCTTCTTAGCGTTCATAGCAATGGCTATCAACTGTACAGCATAAATGGAACGTAAAGCTGCAGAGAAGTGTTTGGGTTTATGAGATTTGACTTTGGAAGACTTACAGGGTGTGTTGAGTGGTGGTGTCCCATCCTCCCAGGCCGCTGGCATGGTGCAGGAGCAGATAGGGTCAAAATAGTGGAATAGGGTAGTGGGTTTTTATTGAGTGTAGGATTAGTTGGATGGGTGTTTAAAAAGAATATATCATTGGTTTTGTTTAGTTTAGTTTTTTTCCTTTTCCCCTTTTCACATTTTGTATCACAAAGTATAATAGATGTATATTGTAGTCCAGTTGGGGGCGGTAATGCAATTTATTGGATGCCAACCGCGGTTAAACGCCGAAGATAATGATGATGATGATGATGAAGAAGAAGAACGGAAGCGCGATTGCGCACGCATCTCCGACTTGAAACATGGTTGGCATTTATCAACATCGTTTGCCTAAATCGATCTCTTACAAATGCCAAATTGGGCCAATATCAACGTTTGCCATAGTGTGAGAACTTGAAATAAACGGATTATTTATTGCACATTGGCTAGCTAGAAAATTGTAACATTTACTTAATCACACCGAATAAATACTGGGCTGGACAAGATGGCCAGCTGCAATTTTCAGGAGCAGTTTGTATCCATAATGGAGGTATTAGCTAAAGCAGCTGTAGCAGAAATAAACAACCGTGTAGATGATAGCTGTGCAGTTATACGTTTGGAAATTACCCAAAGCCAGCGAGATATTGATGTACTGAAAAGGAAGTGTCAAATGATGGAGAGCGAGCTGAAGAAGACGCGCAGACGAAAGGGTAGTTGATGTGTTATTATTCATGAAAAATTGATTGCATATGCAAAACCCAAATGTGTGAATAGCCCTAATATTTGACTAAAAACAATTATTTTCCAGGTTTTTACCCCATGGCATCAGAGAGAACTTCATATCCAGTCAAGATTGTTTCGAACAAGCAGAGGAGTACCTCACAGTGGAGAGACAGAGAGATGGCTGTTGAAGGGGACTCTCAACCCCAGGTGTGATACATCACCTTTTACAATTACAGAGACCTGACCTCTTGGATCAATTCTGTTATTGAAATATCAGGAGAATTTACCGCTTTTGTGTGATTCATGAGTATGAAAAGAGTTAGATATGGTTTGTGTCCAGAGTAATAACCTCAGTCTCCTGTTACAGCCTACAGATGTGGAGCAGAGAGTGGAGACTGAACCCATACTGATCAAAGATGAGGAGACAGCAGAGGACGTGTGGAAGACTGACCCTCAGGAAGAGCTCAGGGTCACTGGAGAGGGTGGGTGCGACCATAAGGGGTACTGCTCTGTCTGTCTATGGAAGACTGTGGGGGGTGGGGTGTGGTGGTATGCACGTTCCAAATTGCTACATTGGTGTTGGGTGTTTTATGTTCTGGCATATGGAGCACACGTACACACACAGTCAGTTCTAAAGCAGTCATGTTTTCCAACTGTTAAGGGTCTTTTGTAATGTTTATTTTATGTTTATCCCCAAATCTTTAGAGTCTGGTTCCAAGCCTGGGAAACCACCATCTTTTGAGCAACGGCACTGTGATGAGGACTTTATCACACAACCCAACATATCTCCTGAAGACTCAGTGGAACATTACCCCAATTCTGATCGTTCCAGAGGAACCAGGCACTCCCCGCCTCATGTCTACAGAGGTGTTCAGCACAAAGCAGCACCGGCCAGCCGAGGACAAAGACTCACTAGACCTAGTGATGGTGAAGGATGAGAAAGAGGAGGAGCTAGATCAGACCACAGCCCTGGCACGACCTGACCAGTTTGTTATGGATGAGACTGATGGGCAGCTGTGGACCTCTGTGGATCCAGGCAGAGACGCTGACCCTGATGGCCACCCAGATTTCTCCTTTCATGCAACAGAAGAGTACTCTCAGAATATCTCAATTTTCCCATCTCATAGTGGACTGCCATCCGTTCCTACTATGACAAATGATGTAGGGCCATCGCTTCACTCTTCTATATGGAAACCACATGCTAACATGTTCAGTGTAGCAAAACACATGACAAGACATGTCAGGACATTGGCTGATGAGACTAGACAACAGATGCCAGAGGGAGAGAGCAGTGAGAGGCTGAACTCAAATAATGAAGGAAATAGTTCAGCTCTACAGCCAAGGCAGCATCAATACGGGGCTTCAGAATCAACAGTGAGAATGAGTGAGTGCATGACAGGGTCAAACATTGCCACCACCTCCACCTTCTCTGGATACAGCCTGAGTCGCAGTAGTTTTAACATGGTGAAGAGAATGAGGACTCAGTGGAGGTCGGGCGGCCCCACCGAGAGGCGTTTCAGCTGCACCTTCTGTGGGAAGAGCTTCCCACGTTTCTGGCAGCTCAAAGAACACCTCCGGAGTCACACCGGAGAGAAACCGTACACCTGCGAACAGTGTGGGAGGAGTTTCACCAAGCAGTGCAACCTGATCAGACATGCTGTGGTCCACAGCGGGGAGAAGCCCTATGAGTGCACACAGTGTGGGAAATGCTTCACCCAGCGCTCCAGCATGAAGTCACATCAGAGAACTCACATAGGAGAGAGTCCAGTGTCTCAATACGTAGCACCCACATACCCTGGGGATCCACACACAAGTTTAATGTTATCTCAGACCAGATGGAACAAATAGGAACATAATTGCATTCTTTTTCGGCAACACTTTCAATGTGAAAAGTAGCTCAATCAACACTACTCGCTATCTTCTTCTACACTCCCCTGTGTATTTATTTGGACAGTGAAGCTAAAACTTTTAATTTGGCTCTATACTCTAGGATTTTGGATTTGAGATCAAATGTTTTATATGAGGCGACAGTGCAGAATGTCATCTTTTATTTGAGTGTTTTAATACATCTGTTTTACCGTTTAGAAATGAAAGCACTGTATGTATCTAGTTCCCGCATTTGAAGGTGTCATAAGTATTTAGACAATTTCACTTATAGTGTATAGAAATGTCAAACATTTAGTATTTGGCCCCATATTCTTAGCACGCAATGACTACATCAAGCTTGTGACTCTACAAACTTGTTGGATGCATTTGCAGTTAGTTTTGGTTGTGTTCTGGATTATGTTGTGTCATTTTGGAGTCACTTATTGTAAATAAGAATATAATTTGTTTCTGAACCCTTCTACATTGTGAACAATACCATGACTACGGATAATCATTCATTCATCTTGAATAATGATGAGTGAGAAAGTTACAGAAAGATAAATATCATGCCCCCCCAAAATGCTAACCTCCCATGTTATTGGTAATGGTGAGAGGTTAGCATGTTTTGGGGGCATGATCTTTGTGCATCTGTCACTTTCTCACTCATCATTATTCACTAATTCATTCATGATTATCTGTAATCATGGTAGCATCCACATTAATGTAGAAGTGTTCATATTCTATTCTTATTTACAATAAAAGTGACTCCCAAAATGACACACTACAGTATTTACCATTCATTTCTATTGGGCACAACATTATACGTTACACAACTAAAACAAACTACAAATGCATCCAGCAAGTTTGTAGAGTCACGAGCTTGATGTAGTCATTGCATGCTAGGAATATGGGACCAAATACTACACTTTTGACTACATTTAATACACTAAGTGAATTTGCCCAAATACTTATGACACCTTCAAATGGGGGGAGTATATACATGAAGTGCATTCATTTCTAAACAGTAAAACAGGTATGTATAAAAATACCCTCAAAGTAAAGAGTGACATTCAGTACTGTCGCCTCATATAAAACATTTGATCTCAAATCCAAAATACTGGAGTATAGAGCCAAATTAAAAAATGTCACTTCACTGTCCAAATAAATACGTAGGGGAGTGTATGTGCCTTAAAAACCTTGAGAAGAACCTCAATGTAAATTAGCTATAACACATGTAGTATACAATAGTTATTGGAAATATATAATGAAATGAAGTTTATTTGAAGTTAACATGAAACTAGCTTATCGTCCTTGTTCCCAGCTGTGTGTCAGACAAGTTATATCCCTTTTCCTTTAATAAATAGCAATCTACATTTTCAGAATGGTTTCATTAGGTTGATCATATATAAACCATTAGTTTTTATGAATGGTTGAAGAAAGTGTTTTAGTATTTGACGTTTTACCACAGTGTGTCATGCATTATGCATCTATAGCATTGTAATGCATTAATAACCATCTGAGCCTTTTCCCCTACATGTAGCCAAAGCTATTGAAAAAAACATGACGTTTTACGATCTAAATTCTTTTAGATCGTAAAACATCTTCTTTCTTTAATCAATAGATATGGCTACTCTACATGTAGCTCTCCGTAGGGTTTTCAGCGGTTAGCTTCGCCCGCGACTGGCTCCTTGTGAACTACAATCCCGACGCTGTGTTATAATGTTTAGAAACGTCAATAATCATCACATGCTAAATGGTTTTCAAAACATATGGACCTTATCTTTAATATCAGCAGAATTAATCTTTCAAATAAAAAACATACACATACTGTAGCAGATTATACAGATCCATATACTATGTGTGCCTCCAGCCGACGAACTACACTTCCGCTACACTTCCTCCCCAGTTACGTTTACACCAAGGTGTTCGGAGCGCGATAGGTGGCTAATTAGCACAAGTGGTCACCTCTGTTTTCAGTCTGTCTTCAGTCTGTCAAGCGCTGTAACATGGAGATATGGCCGTGTAGAAACACTAACCCTAACACTATAGGTGTGTTGTAATTTAACCTTTTTTTTTTTTGAGAAAAAAATCTCTGATATGGTAGATACGTTCCTTATGTTTCCAAAACCGCACTGCAAGCGGTGTGTTAACGTTCAGAACGAGTGTCGGGGGGCTTAACAAAAGTCCCCCAGGAAGAGGATACTATTGTCAATAGGCGCTAAAGGTAGTTAGTTAGCTCTATGAATGGGCTACCCTACAGGCAGACTAGAATAGACCTGGTATATATACTGAACAAAAATATGAACACAACATGTAAAGTGTTAGTCCCATGTTTCATGAGCTGAAATAAAAGATCCCAGAAATGTTCCAAACGCACAAAAAGCTTATTTTCTCATTTTGTGCACAAATTTGTTTACATCCCTGTTAGTGACCATTTCTCCTTTGCCAAGATAATCCATCCACCTGACAGGTGTGGCATATCAAGAAGCTGATTAAACTGCATGATCATTACACAGGTGCACCTTGTGCTCAGGACAAAAGGCCACTCTAAAATGTGCAGTTTTGTCACATAACACAATGCCACAGATGTCTCATGTTTTGAGGGAGCATGCAATTGGCATGCTGACTGCAGGAATGTCCACCAGAGTTGTTGCCAGAGAATTTTATGTTAATTTCTCTACCGTAAGCCGCCTCCAACGTAGTTTTAAAGAATTTGGCAGTACGTTCGACCAGCCTCACAACCGCAGACCGAGTGTAACGACGCCAGCCCAGAAATTCCACATCCGGCTTCTTCACCTGCGTGATCGTCTGAGACCAGTCACCCGGACAGCTGATGAGACTGAGGAGTATTTGTGCCTGTAATAAAGCCCTTTTGTGGAGAAAAACTCATTCTGATTGGCAGGTCATGGCTCCCCAGTGGGTGGGCCTGGCTCTCAAGTGGGTGGGCCTATGCCCTCCCAGGCCCACCCATGGCTGCGCCCCTGCCCAGTCATGTGAAATCTATAGATTAGGCCCTAATGAATTGATTTCAATTGACTGATTTCCTTATATGAGCTGTAACTCAGTAAAGTCGTTGAAATTGTTGCATGTTGCGTTTATATTATTGTTCAGTATATTTGCCTTGCCAGTGGTAATTCTACCAATTTTGAAGGGCTGTTGCAGTCTCATATTTACGGTAATAAATATTGACGTCACGAATTGAACGGAAGTGCGATTGAAATTGCGCACGCATCTCCTACTTCACACATTGTTGCCATTTATCAACATTACGGATTGCTTTTGCACGTTAGTTTGTAAATTGTAGACTATTGACTTCAAACAGAGAGTACAAATCTGTCATTTGGGTTTGACAAGATGGCCAGCTGCAGTTTTCAGTCGCAGTTGGTATCCATTATGGAGGTATTAGCTAAAGCAGCTGTAGCAGAAATAAACAAACGTGTAGATGATAGCTGTGCCATTATACGTTTGGAAATGACCCAAAGCCAACGAGATATTGATGTACTGAAAAGGAAGTGTCGAATGATGGAGAGCGAGCTGAAGAAGACACAAGGACTAGACAGGAGAAAAGGTAGTAATTTGAGTGCATGAACAACTGAAGAAAATCCCAAATGTGGGAATAACCCTAATATTTGACTGAATACAATTATTTTCCAGTTTTTTACCCCATGTCAACAGAGAGATTGTCATATCCAGTCAAGATTGTTTTGAACAAGGAAAGGAGTAGCTCACAGTGGAGAGGCAGAGATGACTCTCAGTGCCAGGTGTGATACATCACCTTTTACGATTACAGAAACCAGACCAGTTGGATCATTTCTGTTATTGGAATATCAGCATAATTTATCGCTTTTGTGTGATTCATGAGTATGAAAAGCATTAGACATGGTGTGTCCAGAGTAATAACCTCAGTCCCCTGTTACAGCCTACAGATGTGGAGCAGAGAGTGGAGACTGAACCCATACTGATCAAAGATGAGGAGACAGCAGAGGACGTGTGGAAGACTGACCCTCAGGAAGAGCTCAGGGTCACTGGAGAGGGTGGGTTCAACCATAAGGGGTACTGCTCTGTCTGTCTATGGAAGACTGTGTGGGTGTGGTGGTATGCACGTCCCAAATTGCTACATTGGTGTTGGGTGTTTTATGTTCTGGCATATGGAGCACACGTACACACACAGTCAGTTCTAAAGCAGTCATGTTTTCCAACTGTTAAGGGTCTTTTGTAATGTTTATTTTATGTTTATCCCCAAATCTTTAGAGTCTGGTTCCAAGCCTGAGCAACCACTATCTTTTGAGCAACGGCACTGTAATGAAGACTTCATCACACAACCCAACATATCTCCTGAAGACTCAGTGAAACGTTACCTCAATTCTGATATTCCAGAGGAACCAGGCACACCCCGGCTCATGTCTACAGAGATCTCAGAGGTGTTCAGCACAGAGCAGCACCGGTCAGCCGAGGACAAGGACTCACTAGACCTAGTGATGGTAAAGGATGAGAAAGAGGAGGCGCTGGATCAGACCACAGCCCTGGCAGGACCTGACCAGTTTGTTATGGATGAGACTGATGGGCAGCTGTGGACCTCTGTGGATCCAGGCAGAGACACTGACCCTGATGGCCACCCAGATTTCTCCTTTCATGCAACAGAAGAGTACTCTCAGAATATCTCAATTTTCCCATCTCATAGTGGACTGCCATCCGTTCCTACTATGACAGATGATGTAGGGCCATCGCTTCACTCTTCTATAGTGAAACCACATGCTAACATGTTCAGTGCAACAGCACACATGAAAAGACATGTCAGGACATTGGCTGATGAGACTAGACAACAGATGCCAGAGGGAGAGAGCAGTGAGAGGCTGAACTCAAATAATGAAGGAAATAGTTCAGCTCTACAGCCAAGGCAGCATCAATACGGGGCTTCAGAATCAACAGTGAGATTGAGTGAGTGCATGACAGGGTCAAACATGGCCTCCACCTTCTCTGGATACAGCCTGAGTCGCAGTAGTTTTAACATGGTGAAGAGAATGAGGACTCAGTGGAGGTCGGGCGGCACCACCGAGAGGCGTTTCAGCTGCACCTTCTGTGAGAAGAGCTTCCCACGTTTCTGGCAGCTCAAAGAACACCTCCGGAGTCACACCGGAGAGAAACCGTACACCTGCGAACAGTGTGGCAGGAGTTTCACCAAGCAGTGCAACTTGATCCGACATGCTGTGGTCCACAGCGGGGAGAAGCCATATGAGTGCACACAGTGTGGGAAATGCTTTACCCAGCGTTCCGGTATGAAGTCACATCAGATAACTCACATAGGAGAGAGTCCAGTGTCTCAGTACGTGGTACCCACATACCCTGGGGATCCACACACACGTTTAGTGTAGTCTCAGACCAGATGGAACAAATAGTTCATAATTACATAGTTTTTTCTGAAACACTTTTTATGTGACAATGTGGTACAGAATGTTTTTTGAGACATTTTGACAAGCTTTTCCTCCCAATTGATTTGTGAAATGGTTTTCATGTTTGATTGTTAACGGATCCTCACTTTTATTTTAATAACCTATTTATTTACAGCTGGTAACATTGTGTATTTATACCACAAAATCATAAAAAACATGTTATAGTCAATAAAATTGATTTAATGAAAGAGTCAATCTGTGCTTTTAGATCAATAATATATAGGATCCATTTAGTATGTATTGTCTAGTTAGTGTTTGACTATCTGGGATGTCACTTCTTGCCACAAGGGACAGTCATATCAGGTCAGGTTAAGAACTCAATTCAACTTGATTTTCCAAGTTAGATTTAGAAGTTACTCTGCTGCCTTAAAATATTAAGTTACTGTATATCTTCTCAAAACTAGGCAATAAAATATTTGTTTCAGTGTTATAGACTATACATGTTTATACTTTACATTTTGCGTTGTCTAAACTGACCGCTGGTACCGTATAAAACTGGTCATCTGAATCAAAGATCATTAGTTAAGAGAAATAGATTGATATGATTGGTAGTTTGAAGGATGTACTGGTTCATTGATTTGCCAATCAACAGAGGCGGAGGTAATGGGGGAGATATACAGAAAGAGAACGCGAGAGAGAGAGAGAGACTCAGGAAGTCAACAGGGGAAGTTTAGTGGTTTCTTACGTCATCGCTTGCTGCAGCTTGGTTGTGCCGGTGCAGAGTGAAGGTAGGAACAGTCAACTCTTTTTCTTACGCTTTCTTATTCTTGTTTTACCTCAAAGTCACTCTGAAACTTGAGAGGAGTAGCAGTGACAGTGTGTTAGGGGTGGAATGGTAGGGGTCAGGGGGATGGAGAGGTAGGGTCAGGCTCAGAGGCTTCATGTTCTACGACGGGCCTGCAGTCACAACGACGTACAATTCAATTGACTTCCGCTGCAGTGAGAGGGCCACAATGGCTGCGAGAGGCAGGGAGGAGAAGGCCTTTATCGGTCACGGAGAACAGCCAGAGCCATGATTAGGGGTGTCAGTGTGTACATCAGCATAGGAAGACTAGGCGTTATTGAATTTAAAGTGTCCCCAAATCACAGCACGGAGAGGGAGTCTGGGAGTTTTGGGGTGAAGGGTGTGGCCTGTTTATTTTGTGAAGAAGACATTAAGGGGAAGTGAAGAGTGATGCGTGCTGTAGATTTTGAGCGATGCTCACAAGTGATCAAATTAAGTGTTGTGTTGGTGTACGCTAATTGAGAAGATGATTTTGCTGGTTTCATACTTTGCAGAGTGCCACAAAGACAGCATGACCTATCACAATGCCTTAAAACACAGCTCGTTATAACACAGTATAGCACTGCACATCACAGAGTGGAACAATAAAATTAATGAAATGCAATGAAGAAAACAACACAGTGTAAATGTATATGAGCACCTCATGGTCACGTTACCCTTGACCAAGTCATACAGAAAATTCATATATCAGACAAGCATACACGCACAGAGAGTTGACCACAGGGCTGGATGTGCGAGAGGTTGCGGCAGGAGAAAAGAAGAGATGCGGAGACTCCGGAGAAAAGGAGGGAACAATGAGAAGGTGTTTGGCTGTGACCTGTTGGACCACTTGTCCACTTCCTGTCAGGAGAGTAAGTCCCAAGTTTCCTCAGTCAGTTGACTAGAATACGTTAAATATTAGCATAAATATTGTCGTCTTGTATCCCTCTCAGTTCCCCAGGTGCTGCGAAGTTGCAGTGAATTCATTGAGGAGCATGGGGTGGTAGATGGGATCTATAGGCTATCTGGGGTGTCATCCAACACACAGAAACTAAGGTAAGTGTGGTGTGTGAGTTTGTGTGCGTGTGTTTGCCTGTGTACAGCAGTGAAATGTTATGTGTTTGTCTCCAAACAGGGGTGAGTTTGACAGTGAGGGGACCCCAGATCTCAATAAGGATGTGTACCTGCAGGACATTCACTGTGTCAGCTCTGTCTGCAAGGCCTACTTCAGAGAGTTACCCAATCCCCTCCTCACATACCAGCTCTATGACAAATATGCTGTGAGTACCTGTCTTGAAAGTAATTCAGATACGAGTATAGACACCAGGGTTGCATTCAGTAAGAACAAAAAGGAGAAAGCGTTTTTAAATGGATAAGTCTTGTTTTATTAAGTTCAGGTAGAAAACATTTACTCCCATGTCATACCAACTGAATGGGACCCAGCATAAAGATGGCATATGCCTTTTTGTATCAACCTCACACACCTCTTCACCCATCAGGAAGCTGTGGCGATACAGTTGGAGGAGGAGAGGCTGGTTAAGATTAAGGATGTGCTGAAAGAGTTACCCGCTCCCCATTACAAGTAAAGCTCTACTATTTAACCATCTCTCTCACTATAGATAGAGAAAGTATAAATGATTCCTGTATGTTTTCATATATCACATGGCCTGCAACCGTCTGTTAATAACTAGAGGTAAATTCTGTGTTGCTTCATACCATATCTCTTGAACTTACTAGTATATCTCAGGCTGTGCACTGCTTTTCTGGCCATGTGTAGTTTTTCTCCAACAGTTTCAAATGTTTTTAAACGAACTGTTTTTAAACTAACTAACTATTCCACTTCCATCTCTTTCTGCCCCTTCTCTCTCCCCCTGGTTTCTCAGAACTCTAGAGTTCCTGATGCGTCACCTTGTCAAGATGGCTTCTCATTCCTCACACACCAATATGCATTCCCGGAACCTCGCCATTGTTTGGGCACCAAACCTTCTCAGGTGTGTGTGTAAATAGAGTACCAGTCAAAAGTTTGGACACACCTACTCATTCAAGGGTTTGTCTTTATTTTTACAATTTTCTACATTGTAGAATAATAGTGAAGACATCAAACCTATGAAATGACACATATGGAATCATGTAGTAACCAAAAAAGTGTTAAACAAATCAAAATATATTTTATATTTGAGATTCTTCAAATAGCCACCCTTTGCCTTGATGACAGCTTTGCACACTCTTGGCATTCTCTCAACCAGCTACACCTGGAATGCTTTTCCAACAGTCTTGAAGGAGTTCCCACATATGCTGAGCACTTGTTGGCTGCTTTTCCTTCACTCTGCCGTCCGACTCATCCCAAACCATCTCAATTGGGTTGAGGTCGGGGGATTGTGGAGGCTAGGTCATCTGATGCAGTATTCCATCACTCCTCCTTCTTGGTAAAATAGCCCTTACACAGCCTGGAGGTGTGTTGGGTCATTGTCCTGTTGAAAAATAAATGATAGTCCCACCAAGCCTAAACCAGATGGGATGGCGTATCACTGCAGAATGCTGTGGAGCCATGCTGGTTAAGTGTGCCTTGAATTCTAAATAAATCACAGACCGTGTCACCAGAAAAGCACCCCCACACCATAACACCTCTTCCTCCATGCTTTACAGTGGGAACTACACATGCTGAGATCATCCGTTCACCCACACCGCGTCTCACAAAGACACGGCGGTTGGAACCAAAAATCTCCAATTTGGACTCCAGACCAAAGGACACATTTCCACCAGTCGAATGTCCATTGCTCGTGTTTCTTGGCCCAAGCAGGTCTCTTCTTCTTATTGGTGTCCTTTAGTAGTGGTTTCTTTGCAGCAATTCGACCATGAAGGCCTGATTCACACAGTCCCCTCTGAACAGTTGATGTTGAGATGTGTCTGTGACTTGAACTATGTGAAGCATTTATTTGGGCTGCAATTTCTGAGGCTGGTAACTCTAATTAACTTATCCTCTGCAGCAGAGGTAACTCTGGGTCTTCCATTCCTGTGGCGGTCCTCATGAGAGCCAGTTTCATCATAGCGCTTGATGGTTTTTGCGACTGCACTTAAAGAAACGTTCAAAGTTCTTGAAATGTTCCGCATTGACTGACCTTCATGTCTTAAAGTAATGATGGACTGTCGTTTCTCTTTGCTTATTTGAGCTGTTCTTGCCCATAATATGGACTTGGTCTTTTACCAAATAGAGCTATCCCCCCCCCCCCCCACCTTGTCACAACACAACTGATTGGCTCAAACGCATTAAGAAGGAAATAAATTCCACAAATTAACTTAAGAAGGCACACTTAAGAAGGCACACCTGTTAATTCCAGGTGACTACCTCATGAAGCTGGTTGAGAGAATGCCAAGAGTGTGCAAAGCTGTCATCAAGGCAAAGGGTGACTATTTGAAGAATCTCAAATATAAAATATATTTAGATTTGTTTAACACTTTTTTGTTTACTACATGATTCCATGTGTTATTTCATAGTTTTGAGGTCTTCACTATTATTCTACAATGTAAAAATAAAGAAAAACCCTTGAATGTGTGTCCAAACTATTGACTGGTAGTGTACATGAGAGAGAAAGACGTGAAGATATAGTTAAAACAGTGTGTTTGCATTGTTCAACGTTGTTTAATCCTCTGAGGTTGTTTGCAGGTCAAAGGACATTGAGGCTTCAGGGTTTAACGGTACAGCAGCCTTTATGGAGGTGAGGGTCCAGTCTATCGTGGTGGAATTCATCCTCACCCACGTGCCCCAGCTGTTTCCTGATTCAGGTATATATATATATATATATATATCTCTCTCTCTCTCTCTCTCTCTGCCATAGAGAATATATACTCACAAGCTCTCATATCTCCTCCCTTTCTTCTTCACCTCCTTATTAAAGGCATTGCGGAGCGTCGGAAGTCGCTCCCATCTCCCTCTATACACAATCCAGAGGAACCTTTCTTCCGGGCCATTCCATTCCACGTAGGCAACATCAGCCCAGGGGACGGTCCCCCTGCCATGCGCTCCTACCACGCCATCATAGACGGGACAGACAAGTAAGCAAATTAACCAAAGAACCAAAACATGGCCAGTTTATGCCAATTTATCATCAAGATGATGATGAATGATGATAAGTAGCAGTACAGTGTTTGAGGTTGGAAGACGTTTAGTGGTCGTAATGGTAATAGATAGGTTAGTATTAGGATGTATAGTTTTTCCTACATGGCCAGGTCAAGTGGTGCAGAAAAATCCAGGCCAGAGTAACATAAGTAACGTTCTCTACTTCAGGAGGAAGGGATCTCTCAAGGGCAGGAAGTGGAAGTCCATCTTCAATTTAGGAGGCAGACTCCATGACCCGAGACGGAGGAACAAGAACTCAGCCAAAGGTATGCACCCACTCCCATAAGAATTAGTGCCACACTGATGTTATTATCTTTTCATTCAAGGCATGGCTTTGCAATGGTAATAATGATTCATTTGAGTTTAACAATCATCCTTCCATCTGTAGATAAAGAGAAAACTATCTTGAGGCCAGCGAAGAGCATGGATTCCCTGAGCTCTGTGCCCTATCCGCATGAAGGTGCATCTCCTTCCTTGTTTACCCAGTCTTTATCTTATTGTATAGATGTTGGTGAATATGTTTGTATAGTAATTAAATGAATGAGGCTAAGGAATCCTTTATTTTCTGTGTTCAATTATGACAGTTTTGTGTAGACTAATGTGAATGTTTACAATACCTCTCAGGTTCCAGACAACGAGCCCCTTCCACTGTGATGTCCCCCCTGGCTCAGCCATCTCCCTCTACCCAGGGGGGTGCGGAGGGAGCGGCATCCAGTAGTGGTGGTGGTGTGGGCAGCGGGTATGCTGTTACCTACCGGAGGGGTCAGGGGGCTAGTGTGAGTGTAGTGAGCGGGGGCGGGGGAACACAGGGCATATACAGTCGACTAGACAGTCACTGTGGTGGGGGCAACAGCACTGAGGCGCTGCAACCCCCATCCAGATCCCCAGGACTCTCCAGCAAAGCCGACCGGCGGGCAGGGATCCACATCTCCGGACCTTTCTCGGTCACAGTGCCCCTTCACATCACATCAGGCCTGGCCTTTGGGGTGCTGCAGGGGGGTGGAGCGGAAAGGGGCAACCATAGAGGAGGACAGGAGAGTGGAGATAAAGGAGAGGGAAGGGAGGGTGAGAGACAGAAGGGAAGGGAGGGTGAGAGACAGGAGGGAGGTGAAGGGGAAAGGTACATCCAAGTAGAAGTTATGGGGGAGGACAAGACTGACCTAGGCAAGAGAAGAGATGAAGAGGTAACGGGGGAGAGGAGAGGTGAGGCAGAGGAAGATCAAGTTGAAGGAAAAGGAGGAAGAGGAGAAGAGGAAGTGAATGGTGACTGTGTATCTAAGCCATCAGAGGAGAGGATTGTAGAGAGTGAGGGTGAGGGTGGAGAGGAGGATGCAGAGAACCATGACAACGATGAGGAAGAGGGAGAATACATGGGTATGTCTAATCATTAATGTGTTTAAATAAGCATAATTTGTGTAATAAGGGAAGTACAATAGTCATGGTAGTAGGTTTATAGATACCGGTTGGAGTGAAATCGCTTGGATAGGACATTTGTGTCAATCTGTAACATCTGCCTTTACTCCTCAGATATGAAAGGCTCTGTGCAGACTGCCCTGGATGCCCCAGATATGTCAGGTGTCAGAAATGATGCAGTTGCTATCGATGTGCCATTCCCTCTGATGGAGGAGGACAATGCACAAGACCAGGACTGTCCACTGGACTTTCAGGATACTTTTGGATTCCTGGACCTCATGGACAGCAGTGTCTCCAGCCAGGTGTGTGTGTGTGCGCACACGTGCGTGTCCATTTGTGTGTGAGTGTGTTTAATAATTTAGTCATGATCCTAACCTCTCTTCTCCATCCTCTCTCCTCCCAGATGTTCCAAGAGTTCTCAGTGGAGCCTCATCATGGGGATGATGAGTATGAGGACGAGGTGGAGCAGAGATCCCCTGGACTCTCACATGACAGACCAGACCCTGTCACACAACCACCTGTAGACACACAGACACAAATACAAACAGGCCGGCAAACACAAAAGCCCATACACAGACCTCTAAGCATCGATCAGTATGGGCGGGCCAACAAGTCAATGAGTCTGCCTTACATGTCCCGGCCCTTCCTGCCTGCTCTGTCTTCGTCCTCTGAAGAAGAAGAGGATGAAGAAGATGATGATTACGACAAAGAAGATGAGGAGGAGGATGATGAGGATGATGATGACATGTTTTGTAAAAGTCTACCATCTAGTTTGGTGTTCAACAGACTGACATGGAGTGGACCTCAGACTGACTTGGAGAACAGTTTGTCCCTACCTCCTATGCCCTCACAACAACTGGACAGTGCCTCTGATGATGGACCAATTCCAAGTTCTGAGGCCAGAATGACCCCTGAGCACTTGGACATTGATTCCCCTGACTGCTGTGACCCATCAGTGGAGGTTTTGAGGCATAGCAAGGCTGAAGAAGAGAATAGACTGGAAGCAATGAAACTGGTTGAGGAGGAGGATATGGAACAGGATCGAGACAGCCAGGAGAAAGACCAGGCAGACACCCTGACGAATACATGCACAAAAAGGTAAGCAGAGGTGGGTTATTTATAAAGTGAATCAAAGTGAAGAACAGCAGATCAGGATAAATGTACTTGATAAATGTTACTTGTCATCATAGATTGCCTTCACTTTGCAGCACTGACATAGAAGAAAGTTGTCACTTGGTTGAAACCAGCATCATGGAGGAAGAGGAAACTCCAGATGACATTGAGAGGAGCCTCGCTTCAGCATCTGCATCAACTGACTGCGAGGAGGCCTCACTGCAGACCACTGCAGAGGGAAAGGACACTAGAGTTCACCTGAAGCTCAAAGACGAGGAAGAGGTCCTGAAGAGTCACTGTGCTGAAGAAGGTGTGATTTCAGAGGGTTATAATGGTGATACAGTGAGCGAAGCTGAGGCAGAAAATCCAAAAGAGCATTTACTCACAGCCTGTCATATTGTTTCCTGTGCTAAAGAGCCAGAGAACATAGTCAATGAGCAATCAGAGGAAGTTTCTAGAGATTCCGCTGGGGATGTAAAGGAGCATCCTGAAAAAGGTGCTAAGAGGGAGAGAGAGGAAGAGAAGGAAGATGGAGAGGAGAAGGTAGAGGAAGAGATGGAGGAAAGAGAAGATAGAAATGGGGGAGAATGGGACAAACAAGAGGGAGAAGAAACAACACCTGAGAGCGAGGGAGATATGGGCAAAGGAGAGGAGAGAGAGGTATTAAAGGAGATGGAAAAAACAGAGGAAAAGGATGTGGGGGTGAGGGTGGAAGTGGAGGAGAAGGAACAAGGAGGAATGATTGAAGAAGAGGAGGAAAGAATAGCAGGTGATGAAAGGGAAGTAGGAGAAGAGGACACAAAGCAGGAAGAGGTCATTTCTGAAGAGATGATGAGCATAGTAGCGAGGGATGACATGATGGAAAGTGGAGAGAGGAAGGATAGGGAAGGAGAGACTGAGGGAAGGACATTTATGGAGGAAGTGATAGAAACCAAAGAAGATGGAGAGATGATTGGAGTACAACAGAAAGAGATCATGAAAGAGATAGATAAGGAAGGAGAGAGTAAGGCAAATGAAGAGATGAGTGCAAAAGAAGAGGCGAAGAAGAGAGCGCATGAAGGAGTGGATACCATGGGAGAGAAAGAGGCAGCTGAAGAGGGGGTGGAAAAGATGTCGATTGATAATGAGAAGCGGAAACAGGACCTAGAGGCACAGCATGTTTTAGAGAGAAGAGAAAGAGATATGGATCTAATAAAGGATGTTGTTGGAGAGGGATATGAGGAGGGAGATAAAGAGATGGAAGTGGGAGAGGTAATCAGGGAGGAAGAAGGAGATAGTATACATGTGGTCCAACAGGAGACGGATAAGGAAGAGAAGAAGAAGAAAGGTGAGACAAAAGAGAAACTACAGACACCAACGATAGTAGAGGAAAGAGAGGAAGAACTGAAAGAGGTCCAGATAAACAGCCCAAAAAAATATGAGGGAGAGAAGGAAGCGATAGATAGTAAAGTGGGGTCTAAAAAAGGGGTGGGGAGAGTGCTGGTCGCGTCCAAACAACAAACAACTCCTAAAGTGTATCAAGCAAGATCAGTGCCAGTGGTACCACCCAAGCCACATCACTGCCGAATAACTGCACTGAACCTCAGACAACAGCAGCACCAGAGGGAGAGGAGAGAGACAGACGGAGACAGTGGAAAGGGAAAGGTACACAGGACTATGGGACAGCAAGATAAGGACAAGGAGAGAAAGATGGAAGGAAAGCCAGAGCATGACAAAGTCAGCGAGACAGAACGAGGGTGGAATGAGGATGGGGAAGATGAGGGCAGAGGCAAAAGGGAGGCACAGTGGGGAGGGGAGATGGAGAGGAGGAGAGATGTGGATGAGGGGGGAGTGAGAGACATGACGAAGAACAGTCCAATCAGTATTTGTTTTGATGAAGCTGTTGCCATGGGAATCAAGAGAGGGAGAGAGAAAGAGGGCAGTGAAAGGGAGAAAAAGAAAGAGAGAGGATATGAAGTACAATAAAGAGAAAGAGGTGGACATAAAAGCCAGTAAATGTTATAGTCATTGACTCTATCTGGACAGTTAGTATACAAACAGATCATTTATATATAGTTATATTTTCCATACTGCCTGTATAATTCAGCCTGGGCCTAGAACCCCGTCCCACTAAGATTCAGGGCTACTCAGAAAACTGATCCTCCACAGACTTCTCTCTCTCTCCGTCTGTAAATGTCCTACTTTTTGTTGCTATTTTCAACCTATTAACTAACTTACAATTTTTACTTGGTTTTATTCGATCTACAAAGAGTTGTACATTTACACCCAGGTATGGAAATCTCAGGTATCACATCTCATGCATAACCATGGGTATTGTGAGCAAGCAAATGTAATAACTTCTGAGTAGCATTGTCTAGAATGTCTATTTTTCAACCATAACCAACTTTCTTTAATTTTTACTTGTGTTTATTCGCTAAAAGAGTTTGTACTATTTTACAACCAGTAATGGTACAATTCGGTATCACATCTCATCATAATAGGTAATTTGAGCAGCAATTACGTAACCTTCTGTTGCCATTGTCTAAATTATTATTGTAACAATTCACTAAACCAAGGATTTTCTTTTTTTAATTTTTTTTGTAGAATAATAGTGAAGAATCATAACTATGAAATATACAATTGGAATCTGATTTAACAAAAAATGTTACATCAAGACATTATTACCATTTCCTTGAACACCTTTGCACTTTGCATTCTTGCAACATTCACTGATATCCTTCAAAGTTTGGACCCACCTACTCATTAGTTGGTTTTTCCTTCTTGCTTCCATCCTTGTCACAGCACAACTGATTGGCTCAAACGCATTAAGGAGAGAAATTCCACAAATTAACTTTTAAGAAGGCACACCTGTTAATTGAAATGCATTCCAGGTGACTACCTCATGAAGCTGGTTGAGAGAATGCCAAGCGTGTGCAAAGCTTTCATCAAGGCAAAGGGTGACTATTTGAAGAATTTCAAATTTAAAATATATTTTGATTTGTTTAACACTTTTTTGGTTACTACATGATTCCATATGTGTTATTTCATAGTTTTGATGTCTTCGCTATTATTCTACAATGTAGAAAATGGTAAAAATAAAGAAAAACCCTGAAATTAGTAGGTGTGTCCAAACTTTTGACTGGTACGGTATATATATATACACTGCTCAAAAAAATAAAGGGAACACTTAAACAACACAATGTAACTCCAAGTCAATCACACTTCTGTGAAATCAAACTGTCCACTTAGAAAGCAACACTGATTGACAATACATTTCACATGCTGTTGTGCAAATGGAATAGACAACAGGTGCAAATTATAGGCAATTAGCAAGACACCCCCAATAAAGGACTGGTTTTGCAGGTGGTGACCACAGACCACTTCTCAGTTCCTATGCTTCCTGGCTGATGTTTTGGTCACTTTTGAATGCTGGCGGTGCTTTCACTCTAGTGGTAGCATGAGACGGAGTCTACAACCCACACAAGTGGCTCAGGTAGTGCAGCTCATCCAGGATGGCACATCAATGCGAGCTGTGGCAAGAAGGTTTGCTGTGTCTGTCAGCGTAGTGTCCAGAGCATGGAGGCGCTACCAGGAGACAGGCCAGTACATCAGGAGACATGGAGGAGGCCGTAGGAGGGCAACAACCCAGCAGCAGGACTGCTACCTCCGCCTTTGTGCAAGGAGGAGCAGGAGGAGCACTGCCAGAGCCCTGCAAAATGACCTCCAGCAGGCCACAAATGTGCATGTGTCTGCTCAAACGGTCAGAAACAGACTCCATGAGGGTGGTATGAGGGCCCGACGTCCACAGGTGGGGGTTGTGCTTACAGCCCAACACCGTGCAGGACGTTTGGCATTTGCCAGAGAACACCAAGATTGGCAAATTCGCCACTGGCGCCCTGTGCTCTTCACAGATGAAAGCAGGTTCACACTGAGCACATTTGACAGACGTGACAGAGTCTGGAGACGCCGTGGAGAACGTTCTGCTGCCTGCAACATCCTCCAGCACCATATGCTGGTGCGGTTGGCCCTGGGTTCCTCCTAATGCAAGACAATGCTAGACCTCATGTGGCTGGAGTGTGTCAGCAGTTCCTGCAAGAGGAAGGCATTGATGCTATGGACCGCCCGTTCCCCAGACCTGAATCCAATTGAGCACATCTGGGACATCATGTCTCGCTCCATCCACCAACGCCACGTTGCACCACAGACTGTCCAGGAGTTGGCGGATGCTTTAGTCCAGGTCTGGGAGGAGATCCCTCAGGAGACCATCCGCCACCTCATCAGGAGCATGCCCAGGCGTTGTAGGGAGGTCATACAGGCACGTGGAGGCCACACACAATACTGAGCCTCATTTTGACTTGTTTTAAGGACATTACATCAAAGTTGGATCAGCCTGTAGTGTGGTTTTCCACTTTAATTTTGAGGGTGACTCCAAATCCAGACCTCCACGGGTTGATAAATTTGATTTCCATTGATCATTTTTGTGTGATTTTGTTGTCAGCACATTCAACTATGTAAAGAAAAAAGTATTTAATAAGATTATTTCATTCATTCAGATCTAGGATGTGTTATTTTAGTGTTCCCTTTATTTTTTTGAGCAGTGTATATATATATATATATATATATATATATAAAAAATATTTTTTTTATTTTGTATTTGTTTCTCACAAACAATGCTGCTTGGCTGTACAATAGTAGAAACGATTCTGTTATAAACATTTCACAGAGGCACTAGCACTGCATATTCGTTTCTGTGTAACAAGGAGGATTTTATTTCTAACACTATTTATTTTAGTACACAAATAGCTGCAATCATGGCTGTGATAGCAAAGGCAGCTGTTGCAGAAATAACCAAACTTGTAGACGAGGGCACTATTGTGCTACGACTTGAAATGTGTCGGAAAGAAAATGAGATAGAAGGCCTTCGTAAAAGTTTACGGCTGATGGAAAGAGAACTGAGGAAAGCTCAAAGGGAAGCAGCAGCACGTGACAAATGACAGGCAACATGCTGATGGAATTCAGGTTGGGAGTGGGACTCCACAAAAAGGTGAGAGCTGACTCTTAGTGCTATCAAGTCAGGTTGTATTTGGCACTGTTCAAGGTTTTGTTTTATTGCTTATTTGACTTTATCGTTTCTAACAATTACATAAACCGTCTACTCTACTTCCAGGTGATGAAGAGGACCAGAAAGCCCAATACATGCCTGTAGAGGACCCAGTAGAGAGCTTCAATGAGCTGCAGAGGTCTGGACACCTTGAAGAGGTGAGGGGTGGACTGGAGTTTCTGGTGAAAGCAGAGCAGGTAGAAGAACATGTAGCCCAGGGAACCATACAAGACCCAGGAATCACAGACAGTGTAGACTTTAGAATGGATTAGAGAGATAGTCAGCTGTGGTCCTCTGTTACACAAGGACTAAGTGGGAATAATTCTGGTCACCCAGATGGGTCTTACACCACAGAGAGATGCTTACAGATGTTCTCCTCTCAGGCAGATCAATATCCCGCTCCCATCCCATCCTGCTTCCTGCAACTCTTTGTCCACTGTAGGGAAACCGTTGGATGACATATGCAGCACTGTCCCAGTGAAAGTGGAGCCTGAGAGGCATCCTGTGTATCATGACGATGCCATGTCTGAGTCCATACAAGCTGTGCAGGGGCAGTACAGAGATACTCTGCATCCTATTGTGAGGGAGGGCTTGATTTTACATCCCAGACTGCAGCAACCAGAACCTTCTTCACAAGGGCTTATAAGAGCAACTGAGAGCACATCTGAGTCACACTCACACAACCAAGAGCATATTCTTAATAAGAACAGATTGAAAACAAAGAGGATGGTAAATGTTTGGAGAGCTGTAGCAAACCAAAAAGTGCTAATCTGCTCATTGTGTGGAAAGAGCTTCCACCGCCAGTGTCAACTTGAAGTTCACCAGCACATTCATGTTGGAGTCAAACCATACAGATGTCTTGAGTGTGGGAAAGGTTTTACTAAAAAAAAAGACTCAAGTCACATCAGTGTTCACACGGGTGAGCGACCTTTCAGTTGCAGACTCTGTGGCAAGATGTTTGCAAGGCAGGACCACTGCCAAAGACATGAGTGATTTCACAGTGGAATAAATGCAATTTAGTTGTGTGCAGTGTGGTAAAAGTTTCACAATTCTCAGTAACCTCAAAATATATTTTTTTAAATCAATGTACATTTGCAAATGTAAGATTATGCTTTTCAGTGTTTTCTTCAGCATTGTACAGTTAATGAACTGTTCATGTTGATTGTTGAGCCGTTCAACTGTACTGAGATTAGCAGGTTTAGGTTTCCAATATGTCATTGGTTTCTACATTATGAATCAAGTATTGAATCAAGTATTTCTACATTATGAATTGCTTTGCGCATGATCTCCTGTAGTTACGGTTCATTTCCGTAGCATGTTCTATCATGTCACTTTTGTAGCATGATCGTAGCAGCAGTTCGAGTTCGTGCATTTTGCGATTAAAAATAAAAGTTTACATTTGATGATTGCATCGTAAAACATCTTTAACATTTCTACAAAGACTTTGCAGTGTAAGTGCAATGCAACGAAATGTGAAACTGTACTTTTTGTCAGTCACTGTCAGTGAACTGCTTTATTTGTTTACGGCTAGTTGAATTTTTGCCACACAGTTCGACTGCCAGCTAAATTGACTATAGTCCAATATTGGACTAAAGGAGCCTAACGTTACTCCTTATTCCAAGGACCTTACATGTTCTGTTTAAAGGGCGAATTGGCTCTGGAAGCCAAAACAGCCAAATGCTCCATCTAAACGTGAATCGATTCTCAATTACGGTACGGTTCTATACTGAACAAAAATGTAAACACAACATGTAAAGTGTTGGTCCCATGTTTCATGAGCTGATATAAAATATCCCACAAATGTTCCATATGCACAAAAAGCTTATTTCTCAAAAAAATGTTGCACACATTTGTTTACATCCATGTTAGTGAGCATTTCTCATTTGCCAAGATAATCCATCCACCTGACAGGTGTGGCATATCAAGAAGCTGATTAAACAGCATGATCATTACACAGGTGCACCTTGTGCTGGGGACAATAAACGGACACTCTAAAATGTGGTGTTTTGTCACATAACACAATGCAACAGATGTCTCAAGTTTTGAGGGAGTGTGCAATTGGCATGCTGACTGCAGGAATGTCCACCAGAGCTGTTGCCAGAGAATGTAATGTTAATTTCTCTACCATAATGTCGTTTTAGAGAATTTGGCAGTACGTCCAACCGGCCTCACAAACACAGACCACATGTAACCACTCCAGCCCAGGACCTCCACATCCGGCTTCTTCACCAGCTGATAAAACTGTGGGTTTGCACAACCAAAACATTTCTGCACAAACTGTCAGAAACCGTCTCAGAGAAGCTCATCTGCATGCTCCTCGTCCTCACCAGGGTCTTGAGCTGACTGCAGTTCGGCGTAGTAACCGACTTCAGCGGACAAATGCTCACCTTCGATGGCCACTGAGCATGCTGGAGATGTGTGCTCTACCCGGATAAATCCCGGTTTCAACTGTACCGGGCAGATGGCAGACATATGGCGTTGTTTGGGCGAGCGGTTTGCTGATGTCAATGTTGTGAACAGAGTGCCCCATGGTGGCGATTGGGTTATGGTATGGGCAGGCATAAGCTATGGACAACGAACACAATTGCATTTTTATCAATGGCAATTGAATGCACAGAGATACCGTGACGAGATCCTGAGGCCCATTGTCGTGCATTCATCCGCCGCCATCACCTCATGTTTCAGCATGAAAATGCACTGCCCCATGTTGCAAGGATCTGTACACAATTCCTGGAAGCTGAATATGTCCCAGTTTCTCCATGGCCTGCATACACACAAGACATGTCACCCATTGAGCATGTTTGGAATGCTCTGGGTCGACGTGCACGACAGCATATTCCAGTTCCCGCCAATACCCAGCAACTTCGCACAGCCATTGAAGAGGATTCTACAGGCCACAATCAACAGCCTGATCAACTCTATGCGAAGGAGATGTGTCACGCTGCATGAGGCAAATGGTGGTCTCACCAGATACTGACTGGTTTTCAGATCCACGCCCCTATTTTTCTAAAAAGGTATCTGTGACCATCAGATGCATATCTGTATTCCCAGTCAAGTGATATCTATAGATTAGGGCCTGATGAATTTATTTCAATTCACTAATTTCCTTATATGAACTTTAACTCAGTAAAATCATAGAAATTGTTGCATGTTGCGTTTATATTTTTGTTCAGTGTAGAAACATAAATCCCTTTACTTTCATATCACATCAAAATAATTTCACAAATGCAAAATATTAATTTACTGTACACTGTTTTAACTGGTTTTAACGCCATTGCAGTCGACACACACAGGTATTCGGAGACGCAGATAGCTAATTAGCACAGGTAGTCCACTCTGTCTTCTGTCTGTTTTTCATAAACAAGTGCTGTAACATGGAAATATGGCCGTGTGGGAACCCTATAAAGTTGTGTATCCATTTTTGTATTTATTATTTCTAGCCAATATGAAAGATAAGGTCCTTATGCATCCAAAACATTGCTGCAAGCGATGCGTGTTAATGTTCAGACTGAGCGTTGCGGCTCTTAACATAACTCCCCCCTGCAGAAGACGCCTTTTTTATTTTATTTTATTTATTTCACCTTTATTTAACCAGGTAAGCCATTTGAGAACAAGTTCTCATTTACAACTGCGACCTGGCCAAGATAAAGCAAAGCAGTGCGATAAAAACAACAACAACACAGAGTTACATATGGGGTAAAACAAAACATACAGTCAATAACACAATAGAAAATCTATATACTGTGTGTGCAAATGTAGTAAGTTATGGAGGTAAGGCAATAAATAGGCCATAGTGCAAAATAATTACAATTTAGTATTAACACTGGAGTGATAGATGTGAAGAAGATGATGTGCAAATAGAGATACTGGGGTGCAAATGAGCAAAATAAATAACAATATGGGGATGAGGTAGTTGGGTGGGCTAATTACAGATGGGCTGTGTACAGGTGCAGTGAACGGTAAGCTGCTCTGACAACTGATGCATAAAGTTAGTGAGGGAGATAAGAGTCTCCAGCTTCAGAGATTTTTGCAGTTCGTTCCAGTCTTCATCCAATGACTTCCCGGCTGAGCCATTGTTGCTCCTAGCCTTCATCCAATGACTCTTATGTGTAATGGAATGGAACTGAGAGTCATGATCAAGGGCTAGGCTGACTATGTGCAGAGCCTTTTGTAACATAAGCAGTGGTGTGTATTCATGGATGCCAAGAGAAGCCAGGCTTCCCCCCCAAAATTGACCAAGTAAAAAAGTCATTTATATTTTGTCTCTGTGTTTTCATAATTTTCCTTCAATTCGCAAGAGGCTGAACGTACACCAAATGACCAAAAGTATGCGGACACTAGATAATAATAATAATAACTAGATGTTGGAACATTGATGCGGGGACTTGCTTCCATTCAGCCACAAGAGCATTAGTGAGGTCGGGCACTGATGTTGGCCGAGTAGGCCTGGCTCGCAGTCGGCGTTCCAATTCATTCCAAAGGGGTTCGATGGGGTTGAGGTCAGGGCTTTGTGCAGGCCAGTCAAGTTCTTCCACACCGATCTCGACAAACCATTTCTGTATGGACCTCTCTTTGTGCACGGGGGCATTGTCATGCTGACACAGAAAAGGGCCTTCCCCAAACTGTTGCCACAAAGTTGGAAGCACAGAATTATCTAGAATGTCATTGTATGCTGTAGCGTTAAGATTTCCCTTCACTCGGTAGTGAGTGTTGCAACCGAGGACAGACGAATTTTATGCGCTACGCACTTCAGCGGTCCTGTTCTTGTGTGGCCTATGACTTCCCGGCTGAGCCATTGTTGCTCCTAGACGTTTCCACTTCACAATAACAGCACTTACAGTTGACTGGGGCAGCTCTAGCAGGGCAGAAATTGTACGAACTGACTTGTTGAAAAGGTGGCATCCTATGATGGTGCCACATTGAAAGTCACAGAGCTCTTCAGTAAGGCTATTCTACTGCCAATGTTTGTCTATAGAGATTGCATGGCTGTGTGCTCGGTTTTATACACCTGTCAGCAACGGGTGTGGCTGAAATAGACGAATCCACATACTTTTGTGTATATTACCCATGTCCTTGTTCAGCCATGACTCAGACAAGTATAGTATATTACAGTTCTTAATGTCCCGTTGATAAGAAAGTCTTGAAGCTCTTCCAGTTTATTCTCCAGCGATTGCACATTCGCCAATAGAACAGAGGGTAGAGGCGATTTATTCATTCGCCGCCATAGTCTCATCAGGGTGCCCGCGCGCCGGCCTCTATAGCACTGTCTTCGCCTGCTTCAAGTGTTGGGGATTAGGGCCTGGTCCGGGATAAACAATATGTATTTCGCCTCCAACTCATTGAAGTAGAAGTTCTCATCCATATTGAGGTTAGTGATAGCTGTTCTGATGTCCAGAAGCTCTTTTCGGTCATAGAAAATGATGAAGGAAACATTATGTTCAAAATAAGTTAAGATCAACGCAGAAAAATACACAAAATAGCACAATTGGTCAGGAGCCTGTAAAACGGCCACCATTCCTTCCGGGGCCATTCTTCCATCTTCATACTGTATGCACATACTGTAGGTTAACTTGAGTGTACTAGTCTGGAATGCATTAAAATCAGTTCATTTCAGTCTTTGGATTGAAGTCTCTGACTATTAACTATTAATCTGACTATTAATTATACTGCCTGAAAAAATCAGCCTGGGCCTATAACCGCCCCACTAAGATTCAGGGCTACTCAGAAAACGGATCCTCCCATACTCCGCTCTCTCTCGCACGCGCTCTAGCTCTCTCTCAAATTAGTTTTAATCAATCTGCAAAGAGTTGTCAATTTATACTCAAGTATGGAAATCTCAGGTATCCCATCACATGCATAACCATGGTATTGTTAAGGATGAGCAAGCAAATGTAATAACTTCTTATGAGCATTGCCTAGTGATGTTTTGTCATTATTTGTATCAACTCCATAAACCGATGCATTTTCTGTTTTTTATTCGTTTTTGTGAATAAACTTCTTCTGCAGAGAACTAATTGTCTTATTTTTGTTTTCAGACTGATTTCACAGAAATAGCTCCATATATGGGCATTTATTAGAAAGTTTACGGTTACCCTTTCTGTCGTCATTTCCGTTATCCATCGTTCCGAAAGAGAACATATTTTTTCACAATCCGTGCTGATTGCCAGCTGTACAGTTGTTGAAACAATTCTGCTATAAATATTTCACAGAGGCACTTGCATTGCATATTCGTTTTTGTGTAACAACGGTCATTTTATTTGAAGAACAATGTCTAACACTGTTTCTTTCAGTACACAAATAGCTGCAATCATGGATGTGCTAGCAAAGGCAGCTGTTGCAGAAATAACCAAACTTGTAGACGAGGGCACTGTCGTGCTACGGCTTGAAATGTGTCGGAAAGAAAATGAGATAGAAGGCCTTCAAAATAGTGTACAGCTGATGGAAAGAGAATTGAGGAAAGCTCAAAGGGAAGTAGCAGCACGAGTGGCAAATTACAGGCAACATGCTGAGGGAATTCAGGTTGGAAGTGGGACTCTACAAAAAGGTGAGGCGAGCTGACTTATTGCTATCATGTCAGGTTATGTTGCACTGTTCAAGGTTTTGTTTGATTGCTTATTATGGGTTCACAGCTGTGAAACATTGTTATTCTCTATTCATTTTTTCTTGACTTTTTTTATTTAAATTTTTTAAAAAATTGTCATTTAGCAGACGCTCTTATCCAGAGCGATTTACAGTTAGTGAATGCATACATTTTCATACTGCCCCCCCGTGGGAAACGAACCCACAACCCTGGCGTTGCAAGCGCCATGCTATACCAACTGAGCTACAGGGGACTATTATCAAATAACTCAAGCATAAATTAACTTTTTTTTCTAATTTGGCACACAGAAACTAAAATCCATGAGTAGCTTGGTCTAAAGAAATGGCACAGATTGGCGTGTAGGGGGATTGGCATATAGGGGGCCCTGTTATAAGTAGTCTCACTTAAACCCACATCCGTCGCCCCGTTAAACCTATGAGATTCCCTTAACACACCACCTTCATGCAGCTACGACCAGAAGTGACTTTTTCGTAGCTGGTTAGGAGCATTAACGTAGCAGGTTAGGATAATTGGGTTAGGGTTAGCTAAAATGCTATCCTAACCTGTACGAAAAATCACTTCCGGTCATAGATGGTGTGTTTTTAGGGAGACACTGAACTTTTTCCTTCCTTGTGCTGAACAAATTTGCCTCAAGGACCCTGAAGGTCCGTCAGGATAGATTTTCATCCATTTATTATTATTATTATGATTAATTTCTCAAATAACACCAAATTCGGTATGTAGGCCCATGGTACATCTCTTAACTTAGTTTAAGAAAAGCTAAGGGTTGGTTAAGAGATGGCTGAGGTATTGATAAAACAGGAAATTCGATTTTACGTGTTCTTTGTAAATCCACTCCACAAAGACTTTACCATGATGAACCATGTTAAGTTGGGCTTTGATACTGTATGTTAAGTAAGTAAACATACTTAAATAAGTAAACTATTAACAATTCGCTTTTTTGACTATGCAACACTAATGCTTAATATAATCATAAAAAATTGACTTCTCATGGACTAAAAGTCAGATTCACTCCAAATGTGGTCTTTGGACTCAACACAATAACATCAAAATAAAAATCAAATAAAAATTATGTTGCTGCATTTAAAGACGGCCACACTATACCAGTAGATGCATATTAGCACATACGCTAATATGCTAATATGTAAACAACGGGTTGGCTGGGACTCATTAAAGTCCCGTAGATCACTTCATTTTTTTATTTCACCTTTATTTAACCAGGTAAGCCAGTTAAGGACAAGTTCTCATTTACAACTACGACCTGGCCAAGATAAAGCAAAGCAGTGCGATTTAAAAACAACAACAGAGTTACATATGGGGTAAAACAAAACATAAAGTCAAAAAAATACAACAGAAAATATATTGTGTGCATATGTAGCAAGTTATGGAGGTACGGCAATAAATAGGCTATAGTGCAAAATAATTACAATTAGTATTAACACTGGAATGATAGATGTGCAAATAGAGATACTGGGGTGCAAATGAGCAAAATAAATAACAATATAGGGATGAGGTAGTTGGGTGGGCTAATTTCAGATGGGCTGTGTACAGGTGCAGTGATCGGTAAGGTGCTCAGACAACTGATGCTTAAAGTTAGTGAGGGAGATGAGTGTCTCCAGCTTCAGAGATTTTTGCAATTCGTTCCAGTCATTGGCAGCAGAGAACTGGAAGGAATGGCGGCCAAAGGAGGTGTTGGCTTTGGGGATGACCAGTGAGATATACCTGCTGGAGCGCATACTACGGGTGGGTGTTGCTATGGTAACCAATGAGCTAAGATAAGGCGGGGATTTGCCTAGCAGTGATTTTATAGATGGCCTGGAGCCAGTGGGTTTGACGACGAACATGTAATGAGGACCAGCCAACAAGAGCGTACAGGTCACAGTGGTGGGTAGTGTATGGGGCTTTGGAGACAAAACGGATGGCACTGTGATAGACTACATCCAATTTGCTGAGTAGAGTGTTGGAGGCTATTTTGTAAACTACATCGCCAAAGTCAAGGATCGGTAGGATAGTCAGTTTTACGAGGGCATGTTTGGCAGCATGAGTGAAGGAGGCTTTGTTGCGAAATAGGAAGCCGATTCTAGATTTAACTTTGGATTGGAGATGCTTAATGTGAGTCTGGAAGGAGAGTTTACAGTCTAACCAGACACCTAGGTATTTGTAGTTGTCCACATATTCTAAGTCAGACCCGTCGAGAGTAGTGATTCTAGTCGGGCGGGCGGGTGCCAGCAGCGTTCGATTGAAGAGCATGCATTTAGTTTTACTAGTGTTTAAGAGCAGTTGGAGGCTACTGAAGGAGTGTTGTATGGCATTGAAGCTCGTTTGAAGGTTTGTTAACAGTGTCCAATGAAGGGCCAGATGTATACAAAATGGTGTCGTCTGCGTAGAGGTGGATCTGAGAGTCACCAGCAGCAAGAGCGACATCATTGATATACACGGAGAAAAGAGTCGGCCCAAGAATTGAACCCTGTGGCACCCCCATAGAGACTGCCAGAGGTCCAGACAACAGGCCCTCTGATTTGACACATTGAACTCTATCTGAGAAGTAGTTGGTGAACCAGGCGAGGCAGTCATTTGAGAAACCAAGGCTATTTAGTCTGCCAATAAGAATGCGGTGGTTGACAGAGTCGAAAGCCTTGGCCAGGTCGATGAAGACTGCTGCACAGTACTGTCTATTATCGATCGCGGTTATAATATCGTTTAGGACCTTGAGCGTGGCTGAAGTGCACCCATGACCAGCTCGGAAACTGGATTGCATAGCGGAGAAGGTACGATGGGATTCGAAATGGTCGGTGATCTGTTTGTTAACTTGGCTTTCAAAAACTTTCGAAAGGCAGGGCAGGATGGATTACTCCCTTTTTGTTTAGAAAGCTCTACTATACAAGCTTCTGACTTAACTTCATTGTTAAAGTATAAAAACATGAGATACCAAACCTGTTCACAGGGTTGGTTAACTCTTGAGATTCCTCGGGTCTCCACCAAACTAGGTAAATCCGCTTTTAGTTTTAATGCTCCACATTTTTGGAATCACTTGCAAAATTCATTACATTTGGATTCCCTGGTGCCACTGGGGCAGTTTAAAACCCTGATGATAAATGAGTTCACCGAGGTGTGCAATAGTTTTGATTGACTTTAATAATGTGTTGGTGATGTTTGATGTTCTAATGTAATGTTTTTGTTATTCTATCTTGTGTCTTGTAGTTTTATATTTTATTTTATGTCCTCAGGGCACCATTTGAAAATGAGACCCTGGTCTCAGTTGGGCTCCCCTGATTAAATAAATAAATGCAAAAAAGTATTCAAATATTTTTCTCGTGAACCATAGGACCAAATGACACCAAATGTAGAATATAGGCCCATGGTACATGTCTTAACATTGTCTTAGTTTGAGAAAAGCTAAGGGATTGGTCAAAAGATGGCTGAGTTATTGACAAATCAATAATCCGATTTTACATGTCCATTAATAAAACCACTGTAAATCCACTCCACAGTGGCCTATAAACTTAACTTTTCATCCCTATCATGGACGTCCCTAAGATGAACCACACTGAATTTGGTATTGATATCTCAAAAAACAAGGAAACTATTAACTCATTCTTTGCATATGACTCCCGAGTGGCGCAGTGGTCTAAGGCACTGCATCGCAGTGCTAGCTGTGCCACTAGAGATCCTGGTTCGAGTCCAGGCTCTGTCGCAGCCGGCCGCAACCGGGAGACCCATGGGCGGCGCACAATCGGTCCAGCGTCGTCCAAGGTAGGGGAGGGTTTGGCCGGCAGGGATGTGGGTTTGTTTCCCACTGGGGGCCAGTATGAAAAAAAATAAAACTTATGCATTCACTAACTGTAAGTCGCTCTGGATAAGAGCATCTGCTAAATGACTCAAATGTAAATATGTAACGCTAACGCTCAAATTCATCTGCAATAATCTTCTCATGAATCATATGTCAGATGAACTCCAGATTTTGTTTTTAGAGTCATTGAATTAACCGCTAATGAATTTGAGAATGATTAGTTGCTGCATTTAAAGTTGACAACACTACACCACTACCAGGCACCATATCACATCAGGGCTATAAGAACTGAACCGATGGGCATGGGGCCATGACATTTTGTATGTAAACCTTATGTATATGTCCTTTAGAAGCTGTGTGAATATGAAGTCACTGCAACCTTAGATGGCTGCACCAGACCAGTTGGTGGCACTATAGATGTCAATGGCACCATAGGATACTAAAGCAATAACTATTGATCAAGTGGATTTTGTCTCATGCAAATTAATTTTAGATTTAAATAATGCAGACAAACAATGTGAAATATTGTGATTAGTATATCAGTATGATCACATTGGTGTGCTATTATGTGGTCTGAACGTAGTGAAAAGTGGATATTTTATTCTGAAAAATGTAAAACCTTAAGTCCTGCCGTTTGCGCAGTCCTGCCGTTTGCGCAGTCAGCGACTAAGTGCAATCAGTGAAAGTATTACCATGTTTATCTCTCAATACCACAATGACGCAAGTGAACTTTAGTCTAGTGCTGTAAGTTGGTTATCTTTGAATGCAGCAGGTAATCATTCTTAAAGTCATTACTTAATGTATTGAGTTTATATACCAATTCTGAGGTCAATTTGACTGGTTTATGTTAAGTTTTGTGAAATATTTTCAGCATTAGTGTATTGGTATATTGCGGTAATCTTTGAATTCTGGGACTTTATTATGTCAATCTGTTTGTGTAAATTATTTTAATCTCAGTTGGTACACTCCACATTAGTGTTCCAAAATACTTCAATACACTCTCACAGCTGTAATACTTGGTTTGTTATCCAACTGGTCTTGTGTACTTTCTGTCATCCTGTGAACTCCGTTCATTGCTGCTCGCAGCTATATTTAGACTTTTTATCATTTCTAGCAATTACATAAACCGTCTACTCTACTTCCAGGTGATGACAAGAACCAACAAGCCCAAGCCATGCCTGTAGAGGACCCAGTAGAGAGCTTCAATGAGCTGCAGAGGTCTGGACACCTTGAAGAGGCGAGGGGTGGAATGGAGTTTCTGGTGAAAGCAGAGCAGGTGGAAGAACATGTAGCCCAGGGAACCATACAAGACCCAGGAATCACAGACAGTGTAGACTTTATAATGGATGAGAGAGATAGTCAGCTGTGGTCCTCTGTTACACAAGGACTAAGTGGGAATAATTCTGGTCACCCAGATGGGTCTTACACTACAGAGAGATGCTTACAGATGTTCTCCACTCAGGCAGATCAATATCACAATCCCATCCCATCCCCTCCTTCCTGCAACTCTTTGTCCACTGTAGGGAAACCGTTGCATGACATAGTCAGCACTGTCCCAGTGAAAGTGGAGCCTGAAAGGCATCCTGTGTATCATGACGATGCCATGTCTGAGTCCATACAAGCTGTGCAGGGGCAGTACAGAGATACTCTGCATCCTGTTGTGAGGGAGGGCTTGATTTTACAGCCCAGGCTGCAGCAACCAGGACCTTCTTCACGAGGGCTCATAAGAGCAACTGAGAGCACATCTGAGTCACACTCACACAACCAAGAGCATATTCTTAATAAGAACAGATTGAAAACAAAGAGGATGGTAAATGTTTGGAGAGCTGTATCAAACCAAAAACTGTTTATCTGCTCATTGTGTGGAAAGAGTTTCCACCGCCATTGTCAACTTGAAGCTCACCAGCACTCTCATGCTGGAGTCAAACCATACAGATGTCTTGAGTGTGGGAAAAGTTTTACTCAGAAAAAAAGACTCAAGTCACATCAGAGTGTTCACACGGGTGAGAGACCTTTCAGTTGCAGACTCTGTGGCAAGATGTTTACAAGGCAGGACAACTGCCAAAGACATGAGCGATTTCACAGTGGACAAAAGCCATTTAGTTGTGTGCAGTGTGGTAAAAGTTTCACGGTTCTCAGTAATCTCAAACTACATCAAAAACATCAATGTAAATTTGCCGATGTCAGAATGTAAGATTGCATGTTGTTCAGTGTTTTCCTCAGCATTGTACAGTTAATGAACTGTTCATATCGATTGTTGAGCCGTTCAACTGTACTGAGATTAGCAGGTTTAGGTTTCCAACATGTCACTGGTTTCTACATTATGAATTAAGTATTTTCTTTGCCTCACCAAGAGAGCAACAGCTGCATGATAGCTTGAATTTCTTGTGCATATTCTCCTGTAGTTACGGTTCATTTTTATGATCATAGCAGCAGTTCGAGTTAGTGCATTTTGGGGTTAAAAATAAAGTTGACATTTGATTGCATTGTAAAACATCTTTAACATTTCTTCAATTACTTTGCAGTTTAAGTGCAATGCAACGAAATGTGAAACTGTGCTTTTTGACAACTGTCAATCAACCGCTGTTTTGTTGCCACACAGTTCGACTGTAAGCTAGGCTGCCTATGTAACTTAAATTGCTTGATTAACATTATTGCTTGAGGATTTTGTACCCGGATGGGTTTTGACATTTAATAATAGCCTAATTGTTTCTTCCCGTTGTAGCTACTGTAGGTGTCCACTCCCAAGTGTGACTGTCAGAAGGATGCTTCAAAAGCTTGTTTTGGCCTGGCATCTGCGACCTGCTGCTCTAGGCCCGGTTTCCCAGAAGCATCTAAAGGCTAAGTTCATCGTTAGAACCTTCGTAAGAGCATCATTAAACCTCTGAGCTGTTTCCCAAAACCATCGTTACCAAAGTTGCACTTAAACGCTCATTATTTACCGACTGCCTCAGACCACTGGTAGAACAGCTAAGTGCGTCGTTAGATGCTTTTTTTGCCATTCTGTGTCACTTTAAACACACGATCTCTGCTAAACATAGAATCAAGATGTTTGTCTCTGTGATCGCAGATAACTTCAGAACGAAGTTGACTACACATACAAAGTTGCCAATGTCTTTGCAATAGTTACAAACAAGCGAAATATAAAGTTGCTTCAAAAGAAAACCGATGACTGCATTAAAAGATAAATACAGTAGGATTGTAGGCTTTGGTTAGATTCATGGGACCACCCATACTAAAAATGTATGCGCCATTGGAGGCTGATGGGAGGACGGCTCATTGTAATGACTGGAATGGAATTAATGGAACGGTATCAAACACATCAAGCATACAGTATGGAAACGACATGTTTAACTCCGTTCCAATAATGCCATTACTATGAGCCTGTACTATAGCTTCTCCCACCAGCCTCCACTCGTATGCACGCATGACTGTAAATCACTTTGGATAAAAGCGTCTGCTAAATGGCATATCATTATATATTATTATGTTGAAATCATGTTCACTCAATTGAGTTATATTTAGCTAATTGTAGGCTGTCTAATTTCTGCCTCAATATATTACATTGTGTAATAACAACATGTGCGCAATGATGTGCCAAATGTGATTTAGTGCATTGTTATTGGGTAGGCTAAGCCACCTCAATATTTGCAGCCGTGGGTTATAACATATCTTTAGGAGTTGACCCATCATTAGTATTGTGAAATAATTCAGCCTGGAATCAGTCATACCAATATACTTTACGTCAGGGTTCTTCAATTCCGGTCCTGTAGGGCCGAAACACCTCTGTTTTTCATCCTCTCCTTCTAATCGGGCTAATTCAGACCTGGGACACCAGGTGAGTGCAATTAACTACCAGGTAGAAATAAAAAACAGAAGTGTTTCGGCCCTCCAGGACCGGAATTGAAGAACCCTGCTTTACGTATTTCTGAGCACCTCCAAAACGTATGATAGCTACGGCAGGAACGCCCCGAATTGCTGGCCGTAAACACACCCTTCTCTGTTGGTCGGGGAGGATGGGTGGTTGTAATCCGCGACAGTCTATCAATCCAAAGGTTGCATGTTAGTTTTATTCTAAACTTAACCCATTTCACCTAACCTGCTACGTAAGTTCACCTAACCTTTGTCTTTATAGTTCCCCAAACTGCCAAAGTAGATTCTCCCCATAATTCTTCTTTGTTGTTACAGCGCAACAAGCAATCTGGTCTCAGATAAAGACGTGCAATACTATACATCCTTCAATTCGTATGCTATTGTACGACCAGGTAAGACGTATGATACTATACATCCTCTAATTCGTATGACATTGTACAACCGCTATTCCATTCATAATGTAACATATCATACTAAATGGCATGTTACGGATTACATACTGAATAATACAAATTGCCCTGAGACCATGTTTAATCATTCTGATGTCGAAGGGAAATTTCACCACTGCTCTATTTCACTATACATTTCCATTAATGTTATTAACGTACATCCATACAGTGCATTCGGAAAGTATTCAGACCCCTTGATTTTATTTACATAAGTATTCAGACCCTTGGTTATGAGACTCGAAATTGATCTCAGGTGCATCCTGTTTCCATTGATCATCCTTGATGTTTCCACCTGTGGTAAATTCAATTGATTGGACATGATTTGGAAAGGCACACGCCTGTCTATATAAGGTTCCACAGTTGACAGGGCATGTCAGAGCAAAAACCAAGACATGAGGTCGAAGGAATTGTCCGTAGAGCTCCGAGACAGGATTGTGTCGAGGCACAGATCTGGGGAATGGTAACAAAAAATGTCTGCAGCATTGAAGGTCCCCAAGAACACAGTGGCCTCCATCATTCTTAAATGTAAGAAGTTTGGAACCACCAAGACTCTTCCTAGAGCTGGTCGCCCGGCCAAACTGAGCAATTGGGGGAGAAGTGCCTTGGTCAGGGAGGTGACCAAGAACCTGATGGCCACTCTGACAGAGCTCCAGAGTTCCTCTGTGGAGAACCTTCCAGAAGGACAACCATCTGTGCAGCACTCCACCAATCAGGCCTTTATGTTAGTGGCCAGACAGAAGCCACTCCTCAGTAAAAGGCACATGACAGCACGCTTGGAGTTTTACAAAAGGCACCTAAAGGACTCTCAGACCATGAGAAACAAGATTCTCTGGTCTGATGAAACCAAGATTGAACTCTTTGGCCTGAATGCCAAGCATCACGTCTGGAGGAAACCTGGCACCATCCCTACGGTAAAGCATGGGGGTGTCAGCATGCTGTGGGGATGTTTTTCAGCGGCAGGGACTGGGACACTAGTCAGGATCGAGGGAAAGATGAACGGCGCAAAGTACAGAAAGATCCTTGATGAAAACCTGCCCAGGACCGCAGACTGGGGTGAAGGTTCACCTTTCAACAGGACAACAACCCTAAGCACACAGCCAAGACAACGCAGGAGTGGCTTCGGGACAAGTCTCTGAATGTCCTTGAATGGCCCAGCCAGAGCCCGGATTTGAAACCAATTGAACATCTCTGGAGAGACCGGAAAATAGCTGTGCAGCTATGCTCCCCATCCAACCTGACAGAGCTTGAGAGGATCTGCAGAAACGACAGGCTTGAAGTCTAAATTGGAGAAAAATGAGGTATTAGTCAGGAGGGGATGGTGTGGGTGACTGACTGGTGTCTGTTGGGGGCGGGTATTGTGTGTGTGTGAAGGGTATTATGCATGATCTATTGACGGGGGGGGGGGGGGTATAGTATGTTTGAGTGTGTATTGATGGGGGCAAAGTAGGACAATGTTGGTTAATCACTGACTACTGTGTGTCCTACAGACTAATCCTGCTGCTGATGACGATGACACCAGCTTTAGTAGTACTGAGCCTGTAGACCCGCTGCTCAAGCTCAACATCATCTGACTTTGAAACAAGGCAGGACAGCCAAAGGTGTTTATAAAAGCACAATACCCTCTTGAGAAAACAAAATCACCAATACTCTAAACTGTCTACAAGACAAGTGCTCCTCAAACTTTTCCCACCTTGCAGTCAGTTGTTTGGCATGTGGGAGAGAGGCTGTTAGTATATCTTCTAGCCTATTCACTCTATTGTTGGCAGTGCCACTAGAGATCCTGGTTCGAATCCAGGCTCTGTCGCAGCCGGCCGCGACCGGGAGACTCATGGGCGGCGCACAATTGGCCCAGCGTTGTCCAGGGTAGGGGAGGGAATGGCCGGCAGGGATGTAGCTCAGTTGATAGAGCATGGCGTTTGCAACGCCAGGGTTGTGGGTTCGTTTCCCACGGGGGGCCAGTATAAAAAAATATGTATTCACTAACTGTAAGTCGCTCTGGATAAGAGCGTCTGCTAAATGACTAAAATGTAAATGTAAGTGCTTGTCTACTCAACATCACAATGTAGGTGCTCATAGACAACTAGACTGTCTACAAGTCAAGCCCCCCTCAAACTTTTCACATCTTTGCTAACAGCCCATCTCAGTGCCCCATTATTGACTCTGACTAACAAAACTCATACCAGTCTACTGTAGTCTTTTTTGTTTACAGATGAACATGGCTTCTTGTATGGTTACACATCCTCATGATCTGTCTTCATGTTTTACACATCCTCATGATCTGTCTTCATGTTTTACACATCCTCATGATCAGTCTTCATGTCTTTCCAGGAGACTTGCAGTACAAACAAATCTTCTGCAAGAGGTCGAAGCAGTGGGTGGTGAAGAAAGTGTACGAGAGACTTTGTCCACCACAGACTGTCCAGGAGTTGGCGGATGCTTTAGTCCAGGTCTGGGAGGAGATCCCTCAGGAGACCATCCGCCACCTCATCAGGAGCATGCCCAGGTGTTGTAGGGAGGTCATACAGGCACATGGAGGCCACACACACTACTGAGCCTCATTTTGACTTGTTTTAAGGACATTACATCAAAGTTGGATCAGCCTGTAGTGTGGTTTTCCACTTTAATTTTGAGGGTGACTCCAAATCCAGACCTCCATGGGTTGCTAAATTTGATTTCCATTGATCATTTTTGTGTGATTTTGTTGTCAGCACATTCAACTATGTAAAGAAAAAAGTATTTAATAAGATTATTTCATTCATTCAGATCTAGGATGTGTTATTTTAGTGTTCCCTTTATTTTTTTGAGCAGTGTATTTCACCTGTTGTATTCGGCGCACGTGACAAATAACATTTGATTTGGATAATGAACTTCTTTCAAAGCGTTTCACATTCTCTCCTGGAATTGGTTCACATTCTCTACTGGTTGAAATTAAGTCTTTCATTTGATGAAATACTACACCTATCCTGTGTCCTCAGATCAGTGCAGAGAAAGGAAATTAGATATTGAGATTAACCTTTTTAGAGTATTTACATGACGCATAGGAAGTGTAGTGTACTGTTTTTTAAAAATTCTGGTTCTGTATATATGAATTACAAATCAGCCTTAACTAGTTAAATCATGTGTTCTAGTCTATTGCAGAGTTACAATGTGTAACCATTGATGTCCCAGGACCAGGATTGGTAAACACTGTTGAAGTGTATACACAGCATTATTCAAAGACTGGCGTTTGATACTCATGGTATTGGATATGACTGAAAAATAATGTCTCACAGACATTCATACCTGAACCGCACCTTTATTTGCCAAGGTAGATAGAGTACATGATCAGTGAATATATTCAATGTACAGGCTACAATATGAGGAACTCATGCTTGGTAATAACTACATGTATATACGACTTGCATCCTTGGCACAAAGTTATATTATATTCTACTCAATCCATAGGCTTCATCGATGCCATTCAGACTGTTTTGAAGTTGATACAACCGGCTATGATTGCTGAGCTTCATAGCTAGCTAATATTGACATTATAATATTGACGTGTAACAGTCATTTTCTGCAATTTCTTGGGGATTCATGATTAACTGGTGGAAGCAATTAAAACCACTGTTCTCAACTAATATTTATACCAAACGTTTTAGGGTCCATACACAGATCGGCTACATAGCTATCTACACATCCATAGGCATACAGGTATTTTTATCCTCCACTACACAATAAGCAAGAAAATAGTTAGCTAGCTAGGTACGTTACTTCAGCTGCATTGCATGGCAAATATCAGCAAGGCAAGCTTACAAAATTGTACATTCAATTTGCAGTAAATCCTTTAGCTAGCTAGATTCTTTACATCCATTGTTTCACAAGACGACAGCCTGGTTTGCTGGTTTTGTCAGGAGTCCCTAAAACATTAAACACAAATTCCAATTTCATACTAATGTCAAAACGCCCATACAGCTAGCTAGCTGGCTAATGTTAGCTAGTCAGCTAGTGTGCTAAATAGCGATTTTCGTAAATTAACTTTATGACAAAAAATATGCATAATCGTTTGTTCCTACATTAACTAACATATTCCTCTCAACTGTACAATTTTTTTGCATTATTCGTTATGACGTTATACTTACTTATATTTACTTCCATCCTAGTATTTTTGTAAAGCCATCTTTGCTGAAGAAAGTCTCCAGTGTTGGATCACATAGTGTCACATTTGTTATGGGAACCATTCGATATGATTGGTCATCGCCATGCTTTCAGAGCTGGTGATTTACATAACATTGGGAAATGCAGAACTTTTTCACTGCCTCGCACACCACGTTCGTGCCTCCCAATGGTTCCCCGCCCACCCCGCTTCTCACTGCTTTCCTTCCATTGAAAATTAATGGGAAGCGGTGTTTCACCGCGCGGTACCACCCCTAGCGTACATGAGCCGTCGCAAAGCTGGCTAGCTGGTGAATGAATTCACGCCCACGAAGCACTGTCGGTTGTGCAGGGCGCATTTCGTGTCTTGTAAGTCTTGTCACAGTTTGCTACCGAGCTATGCTCTATGTTGTAAATCATCAACTTCAGTAAATTCAACTTCTTCAGCATTGATACTGTCATCAGTTAGCTTTCTGATTACTTAACTAATGTTAGCTAGCCATCTTTACATGGCAAGCGGCTCTGAGGGAATGAAGGAAGGTTGAGGGAAAGATGACAAAAGCATCACACTGGCTACATCCAAAATAAGGGCCACCCATAGGTGTTTATCTACTAGATATTTGCATTTTAATTACATAACCTGCTAATATATCTATTGCAAGAGTGGAATTTGGAGTTGGTGATTTTGTTATATCACTATTACTAGCTAGTTGTTTGCTACATCAGTCTTGCAACTATTAAAGTTACTCTAAACTAATTACTATGAGAATAACATGGAGCAGATTAGTTTAGTTACATTTACATTTTAGTCATTTAGCAGACGCTCTTATCAGTTGATACCAACTCCTGAATCTTTTCACAGAGAAAAGTGATAATCCACTGAGCTCAGACTACGTGCCATCTGTCTTCGCCCACCTTACATCCAGTCAGAAAGACACCAGTCACTACAACCTAAAGAAATGTGTAACCAGACAGGAGATGAGGAGAAAAGGGGTAAAGGCTCAGAAGGAGGCGGGTGTCACAACAATGCCCATGGATGCAGCTACAGGGAAAGGCTTGGAGGAAGAGGAGGGCACTTGCGATTGGTGAATCTGCAAGAAAACGCTAAAATGCCTGGTGATGACCTGAGAGAAAATGAAGTTTAGTACATCTCTGCTGTCGAATGTACATCTTTGCTGACTGAGATCGATCGGCTAAGAGAGAGAGAAAAGGTCCTGCAAAAAAAGGTAGATTGGACTGTGTTTTAATCAAGCAAGTTTCAAGAAAGATGACGAAAGGGTCCAGGAGCTGACAGGCCTGCCATCCTATGCAAGGTTGATGGTACTCTTGACATTCATCTCTGTGTCCCTCAAATCTACCTCCCTGACACCTTTTCAGCAGTTGTTGATCACCCTGTTGAGAATGAAGTTCAACATGCCACTGCACTTTTTGGGTCATTTCTTTCATATTTCTGGGTCAACAGCTTGCCGCATTTTTAACAAAACATTGAATGTTGTGTCAGAGAGGTTGACTCCCTTGATTTTCTGGCCAATACAAGAACAAATTAGGATAAGTCTGCCAATGTGTTTCCATCCAAATTACAGTAACTGTACATCCATAATTGATTGTTTTGAGATCTTCATTGAAAAACCCAAACAGCTCTGAGCACGTGCACAAACCTACTCCAACTACAAACATCACAACACAGTGAAGTACCTAATCTCTATCACCCTACACGGAGTCATTTCTTTTGTTTCCAGAGGTTGGGGTGGCAGGACCAGTGACAAACAAATAACTGAGAACTCTGGGTTCATTGACAAACTGTCTCCAGAAGATGTTGTGCTTTTTATTTATTTATTTATTTATTTAACCAGGTAAGCCAGTTGAGAACAAGTTCTCATTTACAACTGCTACCTGGCCAAGATAAAGCAAAGCAGTGCGGTAAAAACAACACAGAGTTACATATGGAATAAACAAAATGTACAGTCAATAACACTAGAAAATCTATATACAGTATGTGCAAATGTAGTAAGTTATGGAGGTAAGGCAATTAATAGGCCATAGTGCAAAATAATTACAATTATAATTTAGTATTAACACTGGAGTGATATGTGCAGAAGATGATGTGCAAATAGAGAGACTGGGGTGCAAATGAGCAAAATAAATAACAATGTAAATAACAAAATGGGGATGAGGTAGTTGGGTGGGCTAATTACAGATGGGCTGTGTACAGGTGCAGTGATCGGTAAGCTGCTCTGACAACTGATGCTTAAAGATAGTGAGGGAGATAAGTGTCTCCAGCTTCAGAGATTTTTGCAGTTCGTTCCAGTCATTTGCAGCAGAGAACTGGAAGGAATGGCGACCAAAGGAGGTGTTGGCTTTGGGGATGACCAGTGAGATATACCTGCTGGAACGCATCCTACGGGTGGGTGTTGCTATGGTGACCAATGAGCTAAGA